TCAAACCCTGCAAATCTGCAATATGTCATCTCCGCCACAAGTTTTATTTCTACCTTTTACCCCAAATATCTTTATTGTGCTCACACTGATTACCCCAAACGCAAGTAGCAACTTCCAAAGTTACTGTTTGCCAAAGTATCAGAGCATCTCGACCATACAACAAATCAACTTCCCCAATTATTTTTGTATACCTTTGCTTAATTCACTTGTCTAGAGGTTCTTTTGAGAAACATCTAGATCATCAAAACACAACAATACCTTATAGAATCATGGGTTTTAGGTTTATGACTTTATTTCTGTTTTTTTTTATACTTTTATTAGCCATCATCAGTACATTTTCTTTTAACATTATCATAATTATCATATACATTCATAACGCGGTGGCTATCTAAACGCAAATGTTAAGTTTGGAACAATTGTCGATCAAATTCGACAAATCGTGATGCGTACATGCATACGCATACGTATGTAGAATACATACGGATGAATGTACGTCTGGATACATACACGTGTCGTCATAACACATGATAAGAATGCCACCTCCAAAGGAAACAGTGAGCATGAAGAATCATGCCCCATGCATGACCGACCATTAAATGAAATTTAATATCTTTTACGATTCCATCAAACATTTTTATGCATCTCACCATCATGACTCCTACGTGATCCCATATTTGCTTTTCTAATAAAAATATTGGATTAGATCAAAGAAAGCCATTGTCATTTTTCATATAATTCGAGAAAAGAGTGAATGTGTATATATGTTGAAACTTGAAAGTGACTAATTTGTTTTTTTTTTTTTTTTTTTTTTTTTTTTTTTTTTTTAACTTCCATTCATTAATAAAAAGAAACCCCGAAGGGTGAGATGTTACAACAGACGAAAAGAAGAAAAATACATAAGGTAGAAACTCAATTGAAGCAACAGTTAGAAGTAAACAAAGATGATCCCAATTGGCTGGAAGGGGATCACTGTTGAAAGTAATGGAACCAAGTATGAAGGTAAGAATCTTGTGAAGCAGGAGCAGAGATACGAGAGGAAGTCTCTCTATCCATCCCAAAAAGTTTGGCCCTCAGAGGTAGTTTAGTTTGTTTGTTGAGACGTAACATCTAAGAGGTAGTTTAGTTTTAAACTTTTAATGGTTTCTCATTCACGGAAATAACACTTTTTTTAACATCTCACGGATTAATAACACTTTTATGAGTCTTCTTCACGTAGTTTATCGAAGTATTTTTCAGAGCATTACTAGTATTTTTCGTTTAAAAGAAAAAACATTACTATAGTATTTTACTAAAATGAATCATAAAACAAAAGTCATCGTTATCTATATATTCCCTCTCTTCCATATTATAAGCTGTTTTGGCATAATGTATCTGCAATGTATATATTATGTCAAAATAGCTTATAATATAGGACAGAGAGAGTATATAACTAACTAGCATCGAATCTGGTATTTTACAACTAAGAAAATCCTTTAAAAATGTTTTGCTAGAAGCATATGTGTCAGATATTTGGAAGGCATTATTGTGTACAGTGAGAAAGTTTTCAGAAGCAGGTTCAATAAAGGAGGTGATACGAACACGTTCAAAGAGGGCAACCTAATCACGTGATTTGTCCCCAAGTCACGTGACGATGACTTTGTTCTCGCCACGTGTCGTACTCTTCTACCACGTGTCCCTTCCTTTTGGCTAAAAATAGGATCCCGACAAAAGATTATGAAATTCTTTAAAGGAAAATATAATATTTGAACAGAAAAAAAATCCGTGGGGCTAACAAGTTGTACGAAAAATACACGTGGTACAAGGCTTTTGGTCTTGACTGATGACGTGTCATTGTCTCTCTGACATTACAAAGCTTGAGACTTGAGTAGGAACTTTAGTTACGATCCGGACACGTGGTGAAACGAGATTGAGTTTACGATTTGATTTGCGTTATTTGGTGAATGATTTATCAAGAGAACATAACAAATATAAAAAAGGGTGAATTTAGCCAATATCCTCCAATAATCTGACAATTAAAAATTTGGAGAGATTAATAGATAATTAATTTTTGAGGAGAGATGATTTATTGTTTACACCCAAAATATCCTTTAATTTTAATTTATTTACATGTAATGCCATTGATCTAAAACCTGTTTTCTGATGTTATATATCGGAAACACTATTCATCAAATACAAACTGATTATACTGTTTATAACCTGAAAATTCAAGATAACTATTTAATTATCATGCTAACTAATATGATATCGAGATAACTATTCGATTACCATATTAACTAATATGATATCGAGATAACTATCTAGTTACCATGGTAACTATTATAGTACCATGATAACTATTCGATTATCATGTTAACTAATATAAATATACCTATAATACTTATGTTAACATCTAACATAAACATATATTTACCAATCAAAATTAGAAATTAACATGATAACAATACTAATATTGTCTAGTTCTGCAAAAGAACAAATGTGAAAACTAAAATTCCATCTTCTATGCCTTCAAATATAAAACCTACCATAGGGAATTCTGTGTTTTTTTTTTTTTTTTTAGTTTGTGTTATAGCTTCCGATGCACGGTACCTCCTCATTAATAAATGGTTTTTTTCCTTCTTCAAACTTATGTTCTGATCAACAGCTGATAATCTAGTTAATAAGCTTGAATGACTATAAAACAAGATTTTTGATATTCGTAACTCTCTACTTATTTTAAATCACTTGCTAACTTTTTTTTATCTCTTTCGATCTCAAGGATTTCGATTGAATCTTGTAAAACATTTAACTTAAAATTTTAAATAAAAGTTGATAACACATATCCTACGCAAGGTGCGGCGGACTAGAAAAAACTAGTGAAGATACAAAAAAAATACAAAGACTAGGGTTTGAGAAAGAGGAGTCTTCCAGATTCGATATCTTTTTGGTTTCGTTCCCTTTGAGAAATCTGGACAGCGGCTTAGGGTAAAATCAATGGATAGAGGTGATGCTGAGCTGGGGATCCGAGCAGCACTAACTGCTTATCGGATCCGAGAAGCAAGGACTTGGAACATTGAGAGAAACGAACAGGTAATGTTTTGGTTCAATTTTGAATTTTCGCTCTGTATATGTGGGAATTTGTATGAATAGAGAGGGCTTTGGTGAATATGTTTATATAGTTTCGGGACTTGGTTTCGTCTACCTACAGTAGTATGATCTCAAAGCTACCGTCTTTATGATTGTGTCTATGTTTTGGTTTTGAAGGAGCGGCTTGCAGAGGATATGGGAGTTGCAATGAGATCTGTGATACGAAGTTGGAAGAAGAAGGAGAAGGAGGAGGAGGAAGAGGGGGTTTATTCTATAGCCCCTAGTTTTGCGTCCTTGCAAGTGTTGGTCCAATGCTTGGCATCACCGGAGGTTGATATTCCGGTCAGTGCTCTTGGCTTAGGACCAGTCAGCCCTGCTGATATCAGGAAGGCCTCTAAACAACTGAAACCACAGGTCATCATGGCCTTTAAAGTGGAGGTGACTCCAGAGGCGAGTCAACTAGCTGAAGCATTCCGAGTCAAAATCATCTCTGGCGACTCCGTTGAAGACATGTGCCAACAGTTTAAGGACGAGTTGGGAGAGAAGGAGGAGGCACGGAGTGATAGCGATGAAGAAGTCTCCCCGTGCGTTCTCTCCATCTTACCCAAGTTTGTGCTCAACAAGGAAGACCCGATTGTCGTGGGAGTATCTGTAGTTGAGGGTTTAGTTCAGGTAGGGACTCCCTTATGCGTTCCACGCACACACAGAGGGTTTATATATATTGGACGGGTTGCATGGATTGAGAAGGATCAGAGACCCGTCGAGGTTGCTAGGGAAGGCGATACCGTGATTATCAAGGTAGGTTTTGAGATTATCTTAAAACTTTTATTGATTGATTCCTTTGGCCCTTTACTGCTGATTTACTTTGTTCTTTGTCTTGCAGATTGTTGATGCTGACCCCAAAACACAACAAGCGATGTTGGGAAGGGAATTTGACGTCGCAGATGTGCTTCTCAGTCGCATCCCAAGGAGACATGTCTACTACCATTTCATCATTCCAAGCTAATGACTGGGTCGAGAATCAATCAAGCTTTCAAAAAAAAAAAAAAACCTCATCCTCGTTCAATTTCTCGGTGCTCTACTTTAAGCTGAAGTATTTATATGTTGTTAACGCTTGACATTATCTCTCATCCTGGAAATATATACATTAATTAGATGTAGACAAAACAAAAGCTTACGTTTGCCTATATATGTTGTCTATTAGGAGAACAAGGCTTAGGTGCCAACTACATTTTTAAGCTATCTAATCTCGACTGTCATGCCTTGTATCTCAAGACACCTCCTCAAAAGTTTGCATCTCTCTTGGTTGGATTTGGGATTTTGAGAACTTCCTTGATATCAGACACCAACATACAGTCACCCATGGATAGGTCGGCCTGCAAAATTATAAAATTCCAGGTAAGTAAGAAAACAAATGGTTGAGGAGAGGATTAGAAGGTGGATAGGGTAAGCGGCCGACCCTGTGATTAGCTTTGAGCGCATCGATAGAAGCCCTTGTAATACGACTGAAAAGGATACTTTCATGATCACTGGTAATGTCAAAATGGGCAAGTCCTTGTCCTTGTTGTCCTTCCGGGTTTGATGCAACAATCTGTATTATATATATAGCAAAGGAAAGCCAGATTTTACTATTTATAAAACTAGTTAAGAGGGATAACAAGAATCATATATAGTCTCAATTCTCCAAAAACCCACCTTGATAATCACCCTCTCGCCTAAACTAGCAACCTCGACGGGTCCGCGGTAATTGGCAATCCATGCAATACGTCCTAAATCCACATAACCCCCACTTCGCATTCGCAGATGGCAAATGGACATTCCCACCTGAAAAACCAAAAACCAAAAATAAAAATGAATAATTAGACAGCAAAATTATTCATGTTTTTGAAGAAGAATAATCATACCTTAAGGGAACCCTCAACAACTAACACTCCGAGGACAATTGGGTCATCCTTGTTGAACACAAGGTCTCGTAAGATGCTGAGGACGCATGGGAAGATTGCTTTATCACCACCATCCCTTTGTGTCTCCTCCTCTTCCAGCTCTTTGACGTACTCTTTGAATTGTACGCTCAGCGTTTCAAGCACACCGCCACATATCACTTCGACTTGCAATCGTTCTGCAAGTTGGCTCGCCTCGTGAGTCACGTCCACTCCAAACCCTAGGATAGTGCAGAACTGCCGTTTCTCATCATCACTCATTATACGGACCTTCCTTATCTCCAGTGGTGTGATCGTTCCTACGTCTATAGCTCTCACCGGTATGTTCACCTCCGGCGATGCCAAGAACTCAACCAATTCTTTCAAGGAACCGGTGGTTGACGCCACCGCGTAAACACCCTCGCCGCTTTTCTTAAAATTCTTCACTGTTTCCATATCGGAATCTTTTCCAAAGCCCTCAGGCTACAACAACAACATAAACGGGATACTATCATACTAAGTACATCTAACAAGTTATTTCTCAATATTCACTAATCGAATTTATTACCATCTTAGATGACGTTTCTTCTCCCGGAATATTAACAATATGTCCATCCGTTAAGCTAGGCAAACTTCCATTAGAAAAATAAAACTGGATCAGATAGCTACTTCTCAGCGATAAGAGATTTAAAAGACCATAAATCATGAAGAAAGCATACTTGAAACTCCAGGTCCCCATAGAAGGTGAAGGTGAAGAAATCCAGTGGCTTGCTTGATTGATTGCGCAGTTTGCTCAATGCTCATCCGTCCAACACAAAACTATATACGTATGCATATGAACTCTGTTACTGAATATTAAGGCCCTTAGGCCCAAATTAACACATTGTTGGCAGCAGCCCATAAATAAAGATTTTAAAGATACTGCAATTAAGGCCCTAAGGCAAGCAAAAGCGACATTAGTTAGTGTTAGTGATATAACAATGACGAGTGTAACATTCAAGCTTCTCTTGCTGGCATCCTCTTTTCAACTTTAACGATATCTTATTTGATAAAAAAAGAATATATAGGATATGTTTACAAAAAATACCTATCACAAAAAATATATAGGATACCGAGTATTAAGGCCATTGGGCCCAGCTTATTACAAAAAAATACCTATCACACATTGTTGGAAACAGCCCATAAAGAAAGATTTTAAATATACTACACACATCAAAAGACTCCAAACCACAATAACAAACTCAAAATTCGAACTTAAACAAACGTTTGTTAATTTCAACAAGAGACTCATATCTTTCGTCTTTTCTTTTGTTTAGTGAAAACATTTTGTCTGAAGCTACAAGGCACAAGCCTGAAGCCTACACACTATCACTTTTCTACTTTGTTGGTTTACGGACAAAATTTCACTTTTATGTATATTGCGAGTTTAAGAGGATTTAACAAAGCTTTCTTACGATTACATGCATGAAGGATAATAAGGAACTTTGGCTTTCAAAAAAAGAGGATTTAACAAAGCTTTCTTACGATTACATCCATGAAGGATAATAAGGAACTTTGGCTTTCAAAATTTTGGTTAAACTATTTCAATATCTATATATAAAAACCTTAATATTTACATCAAATGTTAAAAGCTACGTTAACAACAGTAGAAGTCTCTTATAGCGTTAAAACGTGTCAAAATGAACGGAAGAGAAGACTATCCCGTGAGAGTGCTAGATTCTTTAGTCCGGATCTTACAATTTTAAATTAGATGCAGTCAATCAAAAGTACAAGACGTGGTGATGACAAACAAACAAAAAGTGACGTGGATCCTAGTTAGTATATGTTTGTTTATTTATTGAGGAACAACAAAAGCAATGGACAAAATTGTGTGTGTGTTGTTTGGTGCTCGCCGTCTGACTGTCGTTAAGACAAGCAAAAGCGACATTAGTTAGTGATATAACAATGACGAGTGGCTACTTAATCATTAATTAATTCATAAGTGTAACATTCAAGCTTCTCTTGCTGGCATCCTCTTTGAACTTTAACGATATCTTATTTGATAAAAAAATAAGAGATAGGACAAGTTTGTCAACACATCATAGGATTTGAATTAACCAAAAAAACTTAATCTATAGACTTAATTGGTAATTGCCCAAAAAAAAAAGACTTAACTGGTAAAATATTTGCATTCAAATTGGATCATTTTGATTAATAATTGAATGGATGGATGAAATAAAGGATTTACATCGATGGTAAATGATTCGTTAATCTTAAATTCTTAGTTAATATTGTTATTCAAACGTTCATTTGGTTAATCAGTGCACTGTCCGTAATTTCGTAGTTTTGATATATAAATTTTTGGAAATAGAAGTTGAATTATGTTTACGTACATATTCTTTGTTCATCATGTACTTATCGTCACATATGCCTATAGTTTGAATATTGATTGACCGTTTTCCTCTCGATTGGTTTGAAAGATTATAGATTAAACGCAAACGCGGTTAGTCGACATCGTAAGCTGTGCTGTCTTTGTCCTCTGCGTACGAGAAGAGGTCACGAGCTCACTGAATTTTAAAAGGCCAATCTACAACTTTTAATCTTTTTGGCATCACCCGGGGTTTCTCATCACGATGTTTTATGTTTTGTTTTTATTTTATACATATCTCTTTATGTTTTTGCTTCGGTCCAATTGTGTATTTCTTTTCAAAGAATATGCATCAAACATAATACGAAAAGCAAAATATATAAGAAAAATGTAAATCACGGGTTGCAACTTGCATTTGCACATTGAGACAAAGTGCTATGGACGCTGAAGTATTCCCGCCGCAATTTCTTGTGTGTTTATCACGTTACCGAATCTATCAATTCGTTTTATTTGAAAAAAAAAATAAAAAAAAACGCGTTGCATCGTCTTTATTTTTTGGGAATATCTGTAATACGATTAAAGATTTTCAAAATACGTTTACGAATTACGTTTTAACTTCCTCTAAAACTGAAATCTCTAGTGTCGTGTGGATATATTTCCTATTACAACATTCATATTTTTCTATGTGGAAAACTAACTAGTCTTGAGTTTGTACATTGTAAAATTAGGAAGAGATAGTAATGTTAGAAAAAACAAAAAAAAGACATGAAATATGAGTAGATGCTGACTCAGAGGTTGGTCAAAACACACAGCTAATTGAGATAATATTATACACGTCAGGCTGACTTGTTTTTCTCCTCCCAACTTGTTAATATATTTTTAAAACCACAAAAACAGAAGAACACAGCTGTTCTTATTTTGATTTTTCTTTCTTGCTGCTAAGGACTCGATTTATTCCATTATTTCACAATTCAGGACTCTTAGATTGCCTCGATTTTTGTTTAGATATGTTTATCCTAATCTTCTCTTTCCTTTTAACATTTTTTCATTTTTAGATTATCTAGTAACTATTCTTTTAGTAGGATAAAGTGTGTGAGTTGTTATCAATATCGCTGATTTTTTTATTTTTGGTAAAATAATGGAATAGATATATCTTTATGAAATAACGGAAATAGTAAAAATAATATAATATCCGCGTAAAGAGATATATTCAACAAACTATTCAGACATAGCTCAAAAGAGACTCACATTTTTCGAGCGTGTAGAACACGAACATGGTTTCGAAAGGTTACGTGATTTATACGCGCCATAACTCACGCGTGAGATTGCTGCAACAGAGATACGTAGAAGTGTGACATATTTTGTGAATTAATTTCAGTTTGAGGACACAACACAAGTTAAGTTTGAGATCTAAGGACTTGCACTGTCTCCAAATATGCAGGAAGGACTTTTTGATTGGATCAATATAAATACCTTCTCCATTCTCTTGCACCTTCAACAACATCTTCACAATTCACTCGATTTCTCGTTTTTTCGTTTATTTGTTTATCATCAAATCGTCCGTTTTAGATTACGTATCAAATTCCGAGCAAGATGACTATTCTCGTTGAACCTTTCGCCTCTGGTAACGTTTCATTGCTTCTTATATATTAGAGAATGTTAATTTCGATCTAAATACATATGCGTAGATTGGTTTACACAACGGTAGAAAGATCAGAAATCTAAAATTCATTATTACGTCTCCGGTTATGGTCAAGAACAAAATTTAAATCAAACGTTACAGACTAGACTAGATTGATATGCCTGCATGAGAATATATGATCAAATTTTGATTAATTTGGTGGTGACAATTATAGATTCAAGAGTCGAGGAAAAGAAAGTAGAGAGGGACGATGAATTGGTGTTGGATGGAGGTTTTGTGGTTCCAAAATCTAAGGAAACTGATGGATTCGATGCTCCTGATATCAACTTCCTGGGCCATTCTTTCAGGTCTGTTTTTTTTTTTTTTTTTTTTTTTTTTTTTTTTTTATCTCATTAGCTACAAATTAATGATTCAACCCGCATTAAATTTAATATAGGAAAGTTAATTTAATCTCTTTTATAATTTAGGGATTATGAGAATGATGCAAACGAGAGACAACAAAGTGTTGAGGAATTCTACAGGATGCAACACATTAACCAGACTTATGACTTTGTAAGCCAAACAAATCTTGCTTAACAATTTGATATAAGCCTAGCTAGTTTATTAATAAAATATTAATTGTTAACTGAATTTTAAATTTTAAACTGGACAGGTGAAGAAGATGAGAGAAGAGTATGGAAAACTAAACAAGATGGAAATGAGTATATGGGAATGTTGTGAGCTATTGAACAACGTTGTCGATGAAAGCGATCCCGATCTCGATGAGCCTCAGATTCAACACCTTCTCCAAACCGCTGAAGCCATTCGCAGGGATTATCCGGACGAAGATTGGCTCCATCTTACCGCCCTAATCCATGGTACATGTCTTGTTTTGCTATCTCATAAACATATACACTAGCTACCATTTCAGTTATCATATGATTAGTGTTTATATTGGATTACATATACAAAATATTTTTCATTATCTTAGGTCAATCTTGGATTTTGAATTACTATTGTTTATTTTCTACACAGATCTAGGAAAGGTTCTCCTTTTGCCAGAATTCGGTGGTCTTCCCCAGTGGGCTGTCGTTGGTATGTATTAAATATGAATTATCCTGTTACAAGCCTATCTTTTTTCTTTGTTCCTGTTAAATAATTTACGACTGTACACAATTTTTAACACTTCCTTGGAATTACAGGCGATACATTTCCAGTTGGATGCACCTTCGACTCAGCCAATATTCACCACAAGGTAAGAAAAAAATATACACTAGTGTATGTTTGGTGACAAAATAAAAATTAACTGAAAGTATTGACTTGAACAACTATTGTTATTAATTAATGTATTATTCATTACTATATTGCAGTATTTCAAAGAAAATCCTGATAACAACAATTCAAAGTACAACACAAAAAATGGAGTTTACAAGGAAGGATGTGGATTGGACAATGTTCTCATGTCATGGGGTCATGACGACTACATGTATTTGGTAAATTTCTTTTAACTCTTCTTTTTACTTACTATTAATGATGTATTTTTGTAAAATAATCAAAATTTATACATGAACTGACATGATAATATGAAATAGGTGGCTAAGGAGAATGGCACAACTCTTCCTCACGCTGGTCTCTTCATTATTCGATACCATTCCTTTTATCGTACGTATTCAATTTCAGTGATATGTTATATGCTTTCATTCAGTAAATTAATTACTAGTACTACTAACTTAACTTTTTTTTACATAACGATGCAGCATTGCACAAGGCAGGAACCTACACACACTTGATGAACGATGAGGACAGAGAGGATCTCAAGTGGCTCCATGTATTCAAGTAAGATTGTTTTTCTTTATTTTTACAATATGTTATTGATCTAAGTTATAACTTTGTGATTCTTACGAATAAAACAAAAATTGCAGCAAATATGACCTATACAGTAAGAGCAAAGTTCATGTAGATGTTGAACAAGTGAAGCCTTACTACATTTCCCTTATCAACAAGGTAAAAACACTTAATACATATTCCAGTAATATATGTTTTAAAAGTACGTTTTGTAAGATAATATGCAGTTTATTTCTTCCTCCTTATAATACTTACAATGACTACAATGTTTCTTTTAACTGTACAGTATTTTCCGGCGAAACTAAATTGGTGAGATAGAAAGTTGTGAGATAACATTTTCCTTGGAGGATGAGAGCGAAGGTTGACGAGCTTCTAATGTATAAATCGGAAGAGAAATCTATCTAATAAAAATGTTATGGTGTTCATTCTTGTTTTCTTTTCCCATCAGTTGAGATATCATGTTGTATGCAATAAGCAGTTTATCAAAAAAAAAAGTAATTTAACTTCTCTCCAAAATTCTACATCTAGATTTTGTCTTGCTGCTTTAACAAATAACTTGTCGGATTGTTGTTTAACAAAAAATTATTCTTTAGATTATCCTATAGCAAAAATCATAGGCATGCGTGCATGACCAGAACATGTTGAGGTTTCAATCATGACCACGAAAAGTATGCTGACTTGATAGAAGAAGATATTGTATACAATTGGAGACTACAATCCAAAATAATATTCTCCTCCTCTTCTTCAAGAATCTTTAAATCATATTTTGAAATAAAAGAGAAGTAGCGGTTTCGTTCACAAATCTTTGGACCATCTGAAATGATGAAGGACATGCATATGCATCGTAAGCTAATACTTATTCCTCACTCTACAAACATCACTGCAAGACGACATATTCACACTCATTTAAACTGGTTTCACATGTTGAAATATGAACCAATTGTGCAATCATTTTTCTAACAAAAAGTCAAAAACTCTTCTGTAGAAACTGTTAAACATATCTACAAGTGATACGAGAGGACCAAAATATTGTGTTTGTTGAAATCTATTATTCATTTTTAGGATAAAAGGAAAAGGAACAAAAGTAAAACATAAAGAGGAACTGACTTTAAACCACTACCATTTAAATTAAAACATACAAGATTTTTTTTGTTTTGTTTCTCAATTCGATTTTTTAGGCAAAAGAGTGAATTAATGTTACAAGAAGTTGACAAGAGTGTGATGAAATGGAAGCAAAACCATTATAATAAATTAATGGGCCTTGTCCATAAGTTGTATAGGTGAAAGTATGTTGGCTTTGCTCGTCTCCACAATGCAACCATTCATCACCATTTCCTCCAGCATGAAGTGAGCTTTCTCCAGATGAAACATTATGTCAAGCTCACACTGCATCACAACAAACACACACACACAAGAGTCATGGATCACAAAGAGGAAACACAAAAGAAAAATGGTGTATTTGAACCTAAACACTTACCACATTTCCAAAATGCTTGTCCATTGTCTCGACCAGAAGATGTATGAACTCTAGAATCGCCAGCTCGTTCTAGGTCCGAGGTTTTGAAGGAAATAAGTAATTAGTATCAGCAAGCAAACAATCTAGAGAGTGAGTGAACAAAAAATCTAAGCTTTGTTGTTAACAAAGAGGATATGCAAATAACAAAAAGTTATGTATAACTTACTTCATCGTCATCAACTCCAACCATGAAAAACAGAGACGCGTAACGCCTGTAGACTATCTTGTAGTTGCGATGCTCAACAAATGAACACTGTGAGTTATGAACAGATTGCAACAGAGTTAAGGAAGAAGTAACGGTGATCTAGTAAACATGAACAAAGGAACTTCAAAAGCAATCGAATCCAACTAGATGGATTCAAAATCAATCGAATCGAATCGAATCGAATCCAATACTTCCATTTGCAGATTCCGATCACATCCAGAGAATCAAAAGTGTATAAAAATTCTATCAAGAACACAATAAGCCTAATGCTGGACCGATCCATATCAAATTCCCCAGTTGATGAAAGGCCAATTCGACGATTTGGAAAGCTAATTACGAACCAGTTCGACAGAAATCGACGACAATTGACTTGAGGAGGCGAGATCGGATCAAATTCACGAGCGATCTAATGGAATTACCTGCTGGTCGTTGCGGGCGAGGCATTTACGGACGATCTCGCCTTCGAGAGCTCGACGTTCCTCGAGAGTGAGCCATTCGTAGTACTGAGCCAGACGAGTCTGGCCTTGCTTGTTCACCATTAATATGAATCTTATCCCCATCTCCCTCTCTCGTTCTCTCTCTCAAGCTCGAAGCTTCGTCTGCGTTTTTCTCCAAACTCCAATCCTTGGGAGATTCTTTCTTCTTACGTCATCTCTACTTTTAATTTTTTTTTTTTTTTTTTTAAATCAAATTTTGTTAGAAACTTTAAAATTGAGACAGTAAAGTGCGAATTTATCGGCCCATTTAAGCAGGCTTAACTACAATTGAGCGTAGCCCACTATTCTTCTCTCTTAAAGTATCGAAAAGCCCACGTCACCAACGAGGCGCATGCGATAAAGATATTTAGAAATTTGTACCATGGACTCGTGGAGTAACGTTGAAAGTTGAAACTTTATTTGTTTCGTATCGTATGAATGCTCTACGAGGCGCATGCGACAAAAATATTTAGAAATTTGTTTCTTATGATTGCTAATATGTACTATTATGTATTCGAAAGTCAAAATGAGGAGAAAAAAAGCATAACATATTAATAATGTTATTCACTTTATACTCACCTTTTTTACCCGAAACAGAATAGTGATGAAGAAAAAAACAATCATCACCAACCAAATGTGTGGACGACTCTTTTGCTTTGCATCATCGCATTCACATGATCCCACATTCCCACTCATCCGTTTTAGTTAGTCGTATTAGTTGAGAAACATTATCGATATATATGACATGTAGTCTTATGTTAAAACTGTTCCTATGTCATCATGCTGACAATTACATGTTATTGAAAAAAACGAAAATTTTCAATCATATTGACGTGTTACCACCATAGTTATGAATTTGCACTTTAATTTGGGGGGATGAGCAAAATTGTTAAAAATATCTACAATTTAGACCATAGGATATGGGTCATATCTTTGATATTTTGCTCCTAAGGAATGTTATATAAATAATAAATTTATAATAATTATATATACATCCCTAAATTAAATAAACATGATAATATAAACGTAAAAAAATCTTAACAGTAGGAAGAAAATCATATCAAATAACATAAGATCATAAGATATTTACACAATGCATCACACTGAGTCATCATTCCTCACTACTACATATAGTTTTGCACCGCAAACCAGACAAGCACCCTCGAAATTCCTAATCACAATCACAAAATAAATCAAACAGAAAATGAGCAGATCGGTCTTAATAGCCTGTGTCGTTGCTATCACAGTTTTAACTACACCTTTTAATGTTAAAACTGTGCATAGTTTAACAGCGTGTGAAAAAGCAACAAAGCTTTTAGGAGCGTGTACACCATACGTTTTTTCTCTTTTTCCTGTTAATCCAACACCAGAGTGTTGCAAAAACTTATATACCATTAACCGTGATGTTAGGACGCATGAAGATCGTTACATTATGTGCATTTGTTTGTCTACTGAGGCAGCAATGACTACAGCCGATCCCAAGAAGTTTGCAGACTTGCCTAAGTTGTGTGGTCTCACTTTATTCGCACCGGTTGGTCCAAAATTTGATTGTGAAACGTAAGTCTACTTATTTAAAGGTTAAATTAATAACTTTCTTACTTGACTGTAACATAACCTTGTTGTTATGTTTCAAATTTTGAGCATATTTCTCTTCTAATGTTTTTAATAATATTTTTGGTGCAGCATTAAAAAGTGATGCAAAGGAAGATCATAATCGGGATAGAAAAGAAGATAATATATAAAATGTTGATTTAATGTATAATAAAATTCCTAAATATAATAAAACAAGTTCTTTGTTCAAATTTTCTTAAAACAAGTTATTTGTTCAAAATAGAGAAAATTGTTGAAATTGCCAGAAAATTGTAAAAGACTTGTAATGGAGTTAGAGATGCCTTATAGTGAACCAACAAGTCAAATCTTGTTGCTTATTTATTTCATGTTTTCTTTTATTACTTAATTAGTATGTCACTATATTTTGTAAATGTGCTCTATAACCAAACCTTTTTTTGTTTCATAAAACCACGTAAACATCACACACTAACATTCGCTACGGGGACCAAATCTATTGAGGACTATACGATATATCCACATCTATTTATATGAGATTTATAATATCAAATTGATTTATCAACAATACTTCACTGTCTATTTGGAGATATGAGCTGGCGGCTTGGATATCTAAAACATAAGATTCATAAAATTGTCTGTCTTTTAGCTAAATTCAAGTATTTTTTAAAAAGTTCTCATGAATAAGAAAATAATATTTCTGGACATTCTTTTGTTTTTATTTTGAAACAACAGTTGGGTGCTTGGTACCCAGATATACGAGACACACCATTGTTTGTCCACTAGCTACATTCAAGTATTTTTGTATCTTTCTTAGTATCTATTAGTATTGTCTTCTTGTGAGTTTCATTGAATTTGTGTGGATCAGCATCCTCAAATGTTTATTTTTCTACACTTCTATCATTCGTAAAAAGGACCTTCATTTGGTTTTACGTTATTTCCAAGTTATGGGTGCAAGGAGATGTCATAATTATGCTTTGTGGATTGAACAATAACGAGTGCATGTATGATTGATAGATTTTGAATGGTAATTACAAGAAAAAACAAGAAATCTATTGATACCATAATAAAAAAGGAAGAACGTGTGACTCATCCCAAAATCTATTGATACCATTCATTTTGATTAGTTCTATATTAAAAATGTGTGACTCATTCCAAAATCTATTGATACCATTCGTTATGATTAGTTCTATATTAAAAGTGGGGGACTCATCCCAAAATCTATTGGTGTGTCCCCTCCATGTGAGGCGATAAAAGATATTCAATTTTTCACATTTCACTAACCGTTGTTCATAGTCAACTTCATCTGAGTACATTTCACACTCAGAATCCTCCTAGGATTATGCATTTTATTCTAGGGAGACTTGGCTTAGGAAAGATATTTTTCCACAATTTTATATTTTACTAGTATCTATGAGATATCATATGATTCATATGAGTATGGCTTAGGAAAGATATTTTTCCACAATTTTATATTTTACTAGTATCTATGAGATATCATATGATTCATATGAGTATGTACTAAATGTTAATTTGTCGTTTTTATTGTTTTCTATCTATCACAATTGGTCAAAACTCACAACAGTGGTTTTTCTTTAACGTCGGTCACAACAACAGTGGTGCATTTCTTCACATTCTCATCTTTGGGTGGAATAAAAGAAAAAGCAATTGATATGACAGATAACTACTACGATAACAAAAGAGGAGAGCCAGTGGATATACTACTATTAATTTCCAACATTTTTTATACTAATCACCAAAAAAATGATAACACCAAAATGAGTGTCACAAGGATTCTACTTCGTAGCTTAGTGATGGATTTTATTAATAGCATCACCGTATTATGATCAGAATGTAAACGACAAAGAATAATCAGTATCACATCAGTTAGAAGAATGAATAATTCGTTTTGTGGATTGAAGCCAAGGTTCAAAGGCTAGCATCTATGAATTGCTTTTTGACATTATTGTATACGTTTTGAATAACAAAAAATTCGGACAAAATGTAAAAGTATGGTAACACTCGGCCAAAGTAACTTTCTTTTCAAATGCAAATGTTATTGCGTATGTGCTGAATTAAAGCACGAGGCCTTTGATAAAATACTCATGAAGGGAATCATAAGTTGAAAACAAAACAGTAACACAGAAGCAAAAACTCCATAAAACCTCTGCCCCCACAAAAGTCTTTGCTCATTCACTCATCATTAAATCAATGCTTCAACTGCACTCTTTGAGGAACCTCATTAATCCAACATTAACCATCTCAGCTTCATTCATTCTCTTTCCAAAGTTTCAACATAGACATCAACTTTAATCAAGCTTCTTGAGTTTGTTCAGTTTCCAAAAAAGAAGAAATGGTGAAGAAGAAGAAAGGCAACAGCTTTAAGCTATTGAGTTTGTTCCTGTTTCTGGGCTTATGCGTTGGAGACGGCGGCATTGGAATCGGAATCGGCGACGACGGAATTTGGATCGGCGGCGGGGGCGGAGGCGGCGGAGGAAACCCTAATTCTGGTCCCGGCTCAGCTCCAAAGCAACAGACAAATGCAGCTTACACTGCTCTTCAGTCCTGGAAATCCGCCATTACAGAGGATCCATCTGGTGTTCTTAAGACATGGGTTGGTGAAGATGTCTGTTCTTACAACGGTGTCTTCTGCTCTGGTTCCTCTGTAACCGCCATAGATCTAAACAAAGCAAATCTCAGAGGCACCATTGTCAAGGAGCTCTCTCTTCTCTCGGATTTAAACATTCTCCATCTCAACAGCAACAGATTCTATGGTCAAATCCCAGATTCTTTCAAAACCTTAGATTCTCTTCAAGAACTCGATCTCAGCAACAACAGATTCTCAGGCTCTTTCCCTCAAGTCACAGTCTTCATCCCAAATCTGGTTTACCTCGATCTCCGGTTCAACAGCTTCACCGGCTCGATTCCTGAGAATCTCTTCAACAAGCAATTAGACGCGATTCTCCTCAACAACAACCAATTCACCGGAGAAATCCCTCGGAATCTCGGGTACTCTTCCGCATCGGTGATTAATCTCGCCAATAACAAACTATCCGGCGAAATTCCGACGAGTTTCGGCATAACCGGATCGAAATTGAAAGAGGTTCTGTTCTTGAATAACCAGTTAACCGGTTGTATACCGGAATCGGTCGGTTTATTCTCCGACATTGAAGTCTTCGACGTCAGTTTCAATTCCTTGATGGGTCACGTCCCCGACACGATCTCTTGCTTATCGGAGATCGAAGTTTTGAACCTCGCGCACAACAAATTCTCCGGCGATCTCCCAAATTTGGTCTGCTCTTTGAGGAATTTGATAAATCTCACTGTTGCTTACAATTTCTTCTCCGGGTTTAGCTCAGACTGCTCGAGAGTCAGCGTCGGGTTTGATTTCACCGGAAATTGTATTCCCGGCAAGGGTTATCAGCGGCCGGAGCCGGATTGCTCGGCGATCCCCGGCAGCTCTTTGAGCTGTCTCAGGATTCCGGCGCAGCCACTAACGTGCGCTGCGTTGAGCGTGGGATTGAAGGTGACTCCATGAGAATATAAAGTTCGAAACTTTTTTAAAAAATTCTCTTTTGCAACATTTGTCTCTGTGACTTTACTTTTGAAGTTTTGATAGAAAATGCCAAAAATGGTTGTTTTATCAGTTAACTATTTATATCAACTGATTTAGCTGAATTGATTACTAGAAGCTTATATCTGATTCAAAATTTAGTTTTCTTGTAATCGAATCTTTCCAAAAAGAGATCTTGTGAAGGATTTTTCACTTGTAAGAGCAAATATTGATTACTTATGTTCATCAATAAATTTAACTGATCTTCAATAAATACATGAAAACGACTTTTGTTTGTCTGTCTGTTTGTTTAAAGGACATGAAAAGGAATTGGTCATGTTGTTGGTCCAAAATTGGTCCCGTCTTGCCTAACCTAATAAAGAATACAATAAGCAATGACAGAGATCCAGAAGACGAGTATGAAAATGAAATGATCTAAGAAATCGATTAACCAAAGAAAACTGAAGATATGAACTAAATTCAAAGAAAAATTGGATAAAACACAAGAAGATAGTTGAAAGTGAAACTCCTTGAACCAAAAAAAGAAAATTGAAACTCATCAACTTGCTAGTTACCAAACTTGTTGCAGAGAACAAAATAAAGTGAATTTAGAAAATGGGAATGGAGAAGACAAAAACTAAGAAAGTGGGCTACTCGAAAGCTAATGTCATCATGAAGGCTCTCCTTATAGAGGCGTAGATAGTGCTCATGACTAAAATATGGTCGAGATTTCTCCAAGTAAACGAAATTTATCTTTAGAAAAAGATTCAACTATACATCATTCTTAAAAGTAAATTTGGTATTAGTTGCATCCATTTATTTTTTAGTTATTCACGAACTCAAGCTTGATCCATATAATTCAACTTCAATGGTTTCTAATAATAATGCATGAAGTTATTTCAGTATTTCTACTTTGTCTTCAAGTAGTTAACGAGATCATCCAAATCATTGTATGAAGAGCCTCCGTTTCTCACAGAGGCTTTGAGCTTCTCTTTTAAAACAAGTGCTCTCTCCCTCATGCAAGCACCTTCTTCATCCACAATCAACCTCTTCACAGCTTCCTCGACCTTTCCTCTTTCCACTTCACCTTCCACTTGAAACCCTATTTTCCAAACACCTTCTAAATACTTTGCGTTTACCTTCTGCTCGCCCTGAAAAGGCCTACAAATCATTGGAACTCCCTCCACAATGCTCTCTAGTGTTGAGTTCCATCCACAATGGCTCCAAAAGCCTCCTACCGCATAATGTTTAAGTACTTCTACTTGTGGTGCACGTTTCACAATGTATCCTTTTTCGAAGACCATCCTACTGACTTCATTTGGCAATGACTCTATCCCCTCCGAGCCAAGGATAGAGCCTGGTCGGATGACCCATAAAAAAGGTTGGTTGCTATTACACAATCCCCAAGCCATCTCCAACACTTCCTCGGCTTCCATTTGAGCTAGTGTTCCTATGCTTATGTACATGACTGACCTTGGTTTCTGCTTGTTCAGCCATTCAATGCAGCCTTTGTCCTCTTCTAGTAAAATAGAAGGCGTTGAAGCCGTAATGTGAAGAGGGCCTATTGCGTACACTCTAATTTCAAGTTCTTTTTGCAGCCATGACAAAGACGAGCTCTCTAGACAGCTCGCCGTGTTGAAGATAACTGCTGAAGCTGTTCTTCTGTTGACTACTTCCCGACGGATCTTCACAGCTTGCTCCACTGGCCCAAATCCTGAAGGTAGTAGGTCTTTGTATCTTAAGGGATACAAATTCTCCACCATTTTGTCTTGCATTTCTTGATCTACAAAGGTGAAGCAAAAACGAAATGTTTTAGTGAAAACTAGTGGTTTCAAGATGGGTTGTGAAGCTGGTTATGGCACCTTTCATGTCGATCAAGAACTTGTCTGATTCGAGTTTGCTAAAAACACAACGTGAAACATGATTCGTAGCACTTTGAGTGCTGAAGATGACATTGCGAAGCTTGAGGTCTTTAGCTACAGCTCCACAGAAGTAATTGAACTCGTCGTGGATGATACAAGCAATATCATTGCCATGTTGCAACAACAACTGACCTATACAGTCCTTAAAGCTTGCCTCACTCGTTTTGTTGAGCTTTAGCAGAAACTCTATTTGTCCGAGTCCCTCGAGTTCACAGTTTGGTAAGTTGACAAATTGAAAACCAGGGAAGTGTTGAGAAGAGCTTACTAGATTGAATTGTACTTGAACAACTGTAATTGAAAAGCCCTTTAAGCTAAGGGCTTCTCCGAGTTGCATCATCGGAGTTACATGACCTTGTAATGGAACTGGAACTAGCACTATCCTTCTCTTCGCTTCCCTCATCTCCATTGCTTATATCTTATCTCTTTCTCACTCTTCTCTGAATGCAAAACAGACTCTAGATAAGTGTGGTCCAAGTATTTATTAAAATCCCATTTATATTGGAAATACTCCAAAATCTTCCCCATGTGACACCATGTAGAAACTACTTCTTTATTTCTTGTCGGTAACAACTATTTCTCTTTTATTTGTTTGGGGCATTTTTTTCTAGGTGAAGTCAGTACATGTTTCTTACAAAATCACGTTCATACATCATAATCGTTTCAGTGGTCGTATTCACATTTCACATTACATCTGAACATGTCTTATTAAATTGGAAAAAAAACAAACTATATAATAAACCAAGTTTAACCTTGTGGTGTATTTTCCTTAAATCATTCTTGTTCGTTGTAAATGGGAGGAAATTGGCAAGGACACGTGGCGTGCATGGAGTTAATGATTAAGCTAGAACAAAGGCGAGACACGAGTATATATCACTGATTGAATTTAATGAGCGGCTGAGAATCTGTCTTTTGAATCTAACGATCCACATTTCATCTTACGTCGACATTCTTGTTCGCTCCCTATTTATCGAAGAGACGACGAAGTCCCCCTCATAGTTGCATAGCACATACATACATACATACACACGCAGAGAGATCAAAACAAGAACCGCGAAGAGTAAAAGGAAGAAGAAAGACAATGTCGTGGCAAACTTACGTTGATGAGCATTTGATGTGCGATGTTGGCGACGGCCAAGGTCACCACCTCGCCGCCGCCGCCATCATTGGCCATGACGGTAGCGTTTGGGCTCAGAGCGCTAATTTTCCTCAGGTAATATACATATCTCTCTCATCCTCGGTCGTCGTCGATAGATCGTGTGTTCGTAGATTTCGATTTGCATTTTGTTATAATCCGAATACAGTAGAAACTCTATAAATTGATACTCGATAACTTAATAAACTCTATAAAATAATAGTTTTCTTTGGTCTCAAGTCGGGCCAATATAAAAATTAGCAAAATATAAAATAATAAGATAATAATATTTTTGAAACTCTTATGTAAATATATGGTCCCATCAATATCATAAATTAATAATTACCATAAATAGTTTTATGTAAATACATATCTATGATAATTAATAAAATATAAGTATAATTTTCACTTCTTTTTTATTAGAACTCAAATATATTTACAATTCATCCCTAATTTTGGACTGAAGCTATTCAAAATATAATAATTTACTCTTATTTTAATTATTTTTTTGATAAAATTAAAACTATTGTATTCAGGATCAATAATTTAATAACTCATATAAATTATTAAATTAATAAAATATCAAAGTCCCAACTTTATTAATTTATAGAGTTTCTATTGTATTAGGCTATCTCAAACTATTTGTATGTCTTGTGCAATTATGATTTGATGAAAGAAAAGTTGCGGATCATGTTTTGGTTTGACTTTGATTATAAATTTCGTTGCATTCGGATCATTTGTCGTTCCATTTCGTTGATCTTAAATTTCGTATAGAGAGATACGATTTTGATGCTATTTCTATCTGTTTCACATGGAGAGAAAGATGTGTAACTTGCTTTCCAAGTTATCTCTAATATTTTTATAGATGAACAAATTACCTTTTTCCTTTCAAGATTTCCGTCCTGGTTATGTATAAGTTACATCAAATTCCATATTTTGGTTTTGATCCAACGTTTATATAGTTTGAAAAGATTCCAATTAAAAGTCGGATGATTAATTGTTTTGAAACAGTTTAAGCCGCAAGAGATGACAGATATCATGAAGGATTTCGATGAGCCGGGTCATCTCGCTCCCACAGGAATGTTCCTCGCAGGACAAAAGTATATGGTCATCCAAGGCGAGCCTGGTGCCGTCATTCGTGGCAAGAAGGTAATTAAACACAACCACAACCATTGCAGAATTTTTTTTTATTTTTTATTTTTTTGCATTGCAGTATTATTCCACATAAAGTCTAATTATAAGGCTTCAATCCAAACCATTGTTTCAATTTTTTTAACTGGAACTTGAGCAGGGAGCGGGAGGGATCACGATCAAGAAAACAGGACAATCAATGGTGTTTGGTCTGTACGAAGAGCCAGTGACTCCAGGACAATGCAACATAGTCGTCGAGAGGTTGGGTGATTATTTGGTCGAACAAGGTCTCTGAACCTTCTAAAATGCTCCATTAAATTGTTCTTGTTCCAATTCATTAAACCAATTGTTTCACTTTTTTTTCCTTCTTTTGGTTGGGTGCATGGTTTTTTTTTTTTTTTTCTTATTTAATTTTTGGACTTTCTGGCTTCTACTACCTTAGCATAGTTTAAACGAAAGCTGAAGCCTATGGTTGCAGAGAATAACACTAAGCATGTGTGAAGAAGTCGAAACCTAAAAACTATTTTCCATATTTTTCTTGGTTTCGTGATTAATTTTGTTGTTTTAATTTAATTTTTGTCTTACTCTTGTTGTTCCGATTAGTAATATGTAGTTTTATTCAAGCTACCAAAATGATAATTTCCGCTTGTTGCCTTTAAGCTTCGAAAACATGGAAAATAATAGTTGCCGAAAATGAAAAGAAAGCTGTCGGATATAATAAAAACCCTGAAAAACTAATCAATCATTTTGACCTAAAGAGGAAATATCATAAAACCTAATTAGTTTGGTAACTACGCGAATCAGTTACAGACTTGGATTGCCACGTTGAATTGTCGTTTAGGTATCAGAGAAGGCTCTACTTAACTGTGTTATATATGGACTTCTCCTTTTCCACTTAAGACACACATGCAGAGTAACAATATGAGCAATCCTCAGACTGTGAGATACAACTTTTCTCTCCAACTTACAGTGATTCTATCTTTAATTAGTTAGTGTTATCTTTTTCATTATGTAGTTTAATTTATGGTTCATGTTAGCAGGTGTTGAAGCAACTAGAGCCATGGTTTGAGCTTAAAGACAAAGTGGTTCTTGTGACAGGAGCTTCCTCTGGCATAGGAAGAGAGATCTGTCTAGATTTAGGCAAAGCTGGCTGTAAAATTATCGGAGCAGCTCGTCGTGTTGATCGCCTCAACTCTCTCTGCTCGGTCATCAACAACTTCGGTTCAACCGAGATCCAAGCCGCAGCTCTTGAGCTAGACGTTACATCGGACGCAGCCACCATTCAAAAAGCGGTTAAGGAAGCTTGGGAAATCTTTGGAAAGATCGATGTGTTGATCAACAATGCCGGGATTAGAGGGAACGTGAAGTCGAGTTTGGATTTGTCGGAGGATGAGTGGGACAAAGTGTTCAAGACCAACCTAACCGGACCTTGGTTAGTCTCCAAACACGTCTGCGGTTTAATGCGTGACGCTAAACGCGGTGGCTCCGTGATAAACATCTCATCGATCTCGGGGCTTCAACGTGGTATTGCGCCTGGTGGAGTCGCATATGCTTGTTCAAAAGGCGGTGTTGACACCATGACGAGGATGATGGCTATTGAGCTAGGTGTTTACAAGATCAGGGTTAACTCGATTGCGCCGGGGCTGTTCAAGTCAGAGATCACACAAGGTCTAATGGAGAAAGAGTGGCTCAAGAACGTGACCGAGCGGACTATTCCGTTAAAGGTGCAACAGACAGTGGATCCGGGGCTTACTTCTCTCGTACGGTATCTCATTCACGACTCTTCTCAGTATATCTCTGGCAATACGTACATTGTTGATTCCGGAAATACATTGCCTGGTCTGCCTATATTTTCTTCTCTTTGATGCCCAAATCTTGTGTGCTGTGTGCAATAAATAAGTGAATGCATGTATACATTATTCTCCATGTTGCTGTTTAAGACCTAACCATGGTTTGTAAACTTCACTCATTTATAAATATCAATATATGAAAAGAGATTGATTACCAACGTGTCGTCGTGCGGTGAGCTTAATTCATTGCGTTGTTTCCTTACTAAAATTAAACAAAACAAAGAATAAGGCAAACTTTTAAATGAGACTCCTTTTAAATCTGCTATTGGAATCTTGTGATGGGATAGAATTAAATGCAATGTTGCGTGTAACGCAATAATATATGATTGAGATCTGCAAAGAGAATATCCTCTCTGTATTCATAAAGAAATAAAGAGAATGAGTGATGATCACATTATGGCATCCCTCAACTTCTCTTTTCTGATAAATCAATATACATTTTTTAATTTTCTATCTATAATCCTTTCCTGTTTCCAACTCACATGATTCCAAACATAACATGCTGTGTTCTTCGATTTCGAAAAATATAATATGTTTTTTTTTTTTTTTGAAACATCCATTAAAAAAACATAGAAAGTATATGGTATTTAAGGTTTCTAAAATTTAGCTTTAAATATTTTTTTTTTCTTACTAACTATAGCTTACTATACTATATACCGTTGTTTAAAAAGTATACTAAGTGATTTCATTCCTCCATTTTTCATTCACAATTGTATGATTTCATTTTCTTCTATTTCTCTATATCTTTATTTTTTTCTTCCCATTAATAAATTTATAGAGATTCTCAATTTATTTACATATACCATTTTGTGACAAATTTTATCTCTCTATCTTATGTGTATCTTATAGCTATATTTTCCTTTCATATATATTTCCTAATTCTCATTCCATTTGTTCATTTTCTTACAAATCTTTCTATATAGGTATACATTACAACTATACATAAGATAAGATATAAGAAAATTAATAATTGAGGGATATATATCTCAATATTTTTTTAAAATTATAATGACAGCCCAAAAACCATAATTAATTAAATTAAAGCAGTTGATGAAGAAAATTATTAATTTAAAGCACAACAATTTCCTTGTCCTACGATCAAAAAAGCTGAAAAAGATAATTGAGAGAGAAGCAGAGAAACCTTCTCTGAGATTTCACAGAAGAAGCAAACTCGTCGGAGAAGTCAAATACCCGCCGGAGAATTAAAAGATGTCGTGGCAATCATACGTCGATGACCACCTCATGTGCGATGTCGAAGGCAACCACCTCGCCGCCGCAGCAATTTACGGCCTAGACGGCAACGTCTGGGCACAGAGCGCCGCTTTTCCAGAGGTTTTATCTTCTTCTCTCAATCTTCTCTTTTCGTCTCATCTTATGATCCGTCGTCGAAGTGTTGGAACCGATCGGATTTTGGCCGTGTCTTTTTGTGAATTTTTCGTGATCGGATCTGACGAATCTCGGATCTGATTTTGATTTGATTTTACTATCTCCGTTCTCCTTCTCGGGAAGAAAAATTCGATCTGCTTCTCTGAAATCAATCGATCCGTATGCGAAATTGAACTCAAACCAGGGCTCTAGATCTTTAGTCAATTTGTTAATCGTAGCTTCCATTGAAAATCCATGTATACATGAACTCATACGCATGCGTGAGCGATACAAATGAAAATGATTGTTTTTTTAGAATGTATCTTCTTACTTCTTAGGATCACTGCTTAGCAATTGTTTCTCTGATAATCTCCTTCTTATTTTCGAGTGAGCCCGAGGAATTGTTCTAATAAGATTGTATGGTCTTAGGATCACTGCTTAGCGACTGTTTCTCCGATAATCCAAAAATGTTGACAGCTTTTGCTTTGTTTAGTCTAATGCTTATCGCCGTGTGTTCACTGTTCAATCTAATGTGTTGTTGATATGGTTTTGTAGTTGAAGGCTGGAGAATTCGACGGAATCAAGAAGGACTTCGAAGAGCCAGGGACTCTTGCCCCAACCGGAATGTTTCTTGGTGGCGCCAAGTACATGGTTGTTCAAGGTGAAGCAGGAGCTGTGATCCGAGGGAAAAAGGTAACTTCTTTAGACCAATCAAACATCAGAAGATTGCTTGCTTCTAAGAGTCTATCGATCAAAACGTTAAAGCTTATAGGTATTGAGAAAGTTCGTTATGCAATCTTGTGTGTGAATCTGCAGGGACCAGGAGGTGTTACTATCAAGAAGACGATTCAGGCTGTGGTGATCGGTATCTACGAGGAACCAATGACCGGAGGTCAATGCAATTTGGTTGTGGAAAGGCTCGGGGATTACCTCATCGAGTCTGAATACTGAAACCGTGATTTTTCAATTTCAAACTTCTTCTTTTAACTAAAAGAGTGTCTCATTTGCTCTTTCTTTTTTTATTTTATTGTGATTGATTGTGTAATGCTTTCAGACGCAATCAATTGATACTTTAGAACCAACCAATCTTGTTGTTGGTCTTGTTACCGTGGTTTGGGGGTTTGTGTGTCTTTGTAATGGCATTTGATACTCTTTTTATTTTTCATTCCTTCATATGTATTTGAGTTTTTGGATTTTTTTTTGGTTCTTCATAAACTTGCTCTTCTTGAATGGATCTGCGGTTTGAAACATTTTTTGGTTTGACAAACATCGGATTCAAACTAAATAAATACATGAACAATCAGAGACTTTAGGATTGTTTCACTGAACAAGTTGAGAACAGAGAACAAATCAAAGTCTTACAACAACCATGATACAACCTCTTTCTTCATAAGAAATGTCAAAAAAATTATGTGTATGCATGTATCAATTGTTTATTTCTTGCAGTTATAGTAATTGCCACAATCATCTTAATTATGAACTAAACTAGTATCAAATTATCCTACAAATATATCTGATTTATAGTAAGCTATATTCTTTTCAATTTTCAGAAATGTCATTGCCTCACAATACTGATAAACTTTAACACGTGGTTCTTGCAAGAATCATACATTTTAACCCATCCATGTGGAAATTAATTTTACTAGATTTTTCTAGAATAGTTACAATCATAATAATAAATAAATTTAACAAAAAGAAAAGTACAATCATAACAAAATCTAAAAATAACTGAAAAAAACTAAAAAATTAGAAATGAAATTAAAGATGGATGATATCAAAATAATCTATATTAAAATACACAAAGATGTTAAATTTTTATTGTGTGATCTTAGTATAAATTGTATCTTGAATAATCTCTTTGGGTATGGTTTGTATTTTGCATGCCAACATGGAAACAAAGCAAGTAGACGATAAGGAGGTGGTACGAGTGATCACAACCGTCCAAAACAACTCATCAGAACTGCTCCCTCTTGATTTGACAATCGAGATACTCAAAAGACTGCCACCTAAAAAAATCCTCGCACTGAGATGTGTATCGAAGCAATGGTGTTCAATCATAAACAGCCGACCATTCACCAACACATTCATGTCGATGTCTATGTCCCGACCTCGTCTCCTTTTCGCTTTCAATATCGCTCATGATGGCGACAAAACAAGTGTGGTATTTTATTCTTCACCTCATCCTCCTCAAGTATCAAAAGATTCTCCTTCATCATCATTAATGGTAGCCAAAAAAGAGATGGTGTTGACCAAGGGCATATATCTTTATAGTTTCAACCGTATAACAAACGTGCATGGCTTAGTCTCTTATGGTTCAACGCTTCATGAGTTCTTTATTTGTAACCCAACCACTGGGCAAGTCGTAAAGTTTCCCAAAGACCAAACATTCACTCCTGAAGAGGAGCTTCACAGTCACATGTATTTGGCATATGACACAACCGATGGACTTTATAAAGTATTGTTGGCGCCTTGGGATGATTCAACTCGTCAACATCAAGTTCTAACGCTGGGAGAGAGAAAATGGCGCTGCGTCGAGGGAAGTTGTAACACTACTAGTTGCCAACCGAATCTAATCAAGCAAAGAGGAATATGCATTAACGGGGTTTTGTATTATGGAGCTTCGACAGAAGAATGGGAAGTCTCTATGATAGTGAGTTTTGATGTTAGGTCTGAGCAACTATCTTACATTCAAGCTCCTATAACCATACACTTAGACTCTTATAATAAGGACTCTCTACAAAATTATCTTGGTAAGTTAGCGGTTTTTAGTTTCACTAAAGAAGGACTCCATATATGGGTTTTAGAGAATGTCAAGAAGCATGAATGGTCGTTTAAGACTTATGTTTCTCATTTGTTCGGTAAAATCACGACTAAACCGGTCACAATGAGGTTCGTTGGCACCACCAATGATGGGGAGATCGTTATTGCACCCATCATGTTGTCCAAAGATGAAGCTTTTGTCGTTATCTTTTACAATTTGGAAAAAGAGACTAAGACAAGTGTTGGATTTGTAGGATTTGAGGGGTTTGAAGGACTAGCAAGTTATGATAGGTTAACGATTCGTAGAATCCTTATCTCACCTCAGCATGTTGAGAATCTTATATCATTTTAGATTATAACTATAGAATTATTTCATATATTCCGTAAATCACTTTTGACCAATTATTTGAGAAATTTTATGAAATACACCTCTTGAGGTGCAAATTTTCAAAACTATACATATAGTGTGAAAATTTTCAAAAATACACCTTTTCCCAATTTTAATATATATGTTTGGGTTCACTAATCTTATATTAGGGTTTAGATTTTGGGGTTTAGGGTTTAGATTTAAGGGTTCAATGTTAGATTTTAGGGTTTTGGATTTATATTTAGGGTTTGGAGTTCTTTTACTAAATGAAAAAAGTGTACTTTTGAAAATTGGCACTATAGAGGTGTATTTTTGAAAATTTGCACCTCAAGATGTGTAGTTTGAAATTCCCCCCAATTATTTTGTTTGGTTAATGTTTTTTTTGGCATTTTAAAAGTCAAATGAAAACAAAACATACGTGTTCGCTGGTGATTCAACTAGAATAGTTTGTGATTTATGGTTCGGGCCTGGAAGACAACATTATGTGGATAAGAATACAGTGTATCAAGGGCCTCCTAAACCGAAAAGAGTGTGAGCTGCGTCAATGGATTGCCAGACCCGACAGACTTTACTACAAAAAGAACCTCAGGACCCGCTCAGGATTGGACTTCTTTGGGAGGAGAAGAAAAAGATGTAACATTATCTTTTTCTTTAATTTGTTGTACGTCTTCATAAGATCTATTAATCATGTGCTCTAATAATTATGAGTTTATAGTGATCTTTGACTGATTGATTACAAACTTAATTCAAGAGGTATCAAACCGGTTTAGTATGGACTCACAAAGATGATTTGATCCACAACGTTACCAAATGATTCAAACTTATAATATAAGAAATAAATAAAAACCAAAATGGAAGAGTGGTAGTGCAAAAGATTTAACAAAAAAAAAAAAAAAGCAACAATGTTTTTTAGAATAAGGATTTGTGTGAGTACACGGACCAATTTCACTCGATGACATTGGTGCCCAAACCACAGACAATCCTTGAGCCGGAATTATCTAAATGGCACATCAACAACTGATGAGTTTGGTCTACTTCTCTGATGAGTTTGGTCCTCTCTTCTTGCCAAAGCCAACAACTGATGAACAACAAACAAGAAGAAATGCAAATTGAGAATCCATTTGTTATTCAAACAAACTTGTTCAATCGCATAATATAATCATAAGACTGTACTAAACCATTTATAGTAAACTTCATACGATCTAGACTCGGTAACACGAAAATTCATAACTATCTAATCATGTGATTGGACTGAGGCAAGCAAAAACGATCAACATTCAACACAATCACTAATTTAACATCTTAGCAAATTAATAAACGATAATTTTAGCAGCATAACTATCAAATTTTATCGATCTGAAAAAGAAAACTAATTACCGGCGGTGACGAATCGGCGGTTGTGTTGCAACCTCTTGTGAGCACGGCCACGTGGCTGCTTCTTCTTGTCCTGCTTCGCTACTTTCGGTGTCTGACCTCTCACCTTACCGGCACGAGCCAACGAACCGTGTACCTTTCCTGTTATCGATTACCAGAAGAAAAAAAAAAAAAAAAAAATTTCATCAACATTGTCGATTAGAATACTTAGATCAATAGATAATTCGAACGGTAAGGAAATAGCAAGTGGAGAAGAAGAATCACCCATTGTTGATTACAGAGAGATTCTTCTGGCTTCAGCTCTTCGGTTCGTTTGGCGGCGACGATGCTCTCTAATATATGAGCAACAGTATAAATTGATAACCCTAAGACGTTATTAGAGTCGCTCTAAGAACCTATTTGGGCCATTTTGGGTTTCAAATGGGCCTTACGAAATCAGGTCCAAAGTTTGGCTTTGATTTTCATTTCGTTTATATCAGATTTTTATGGAATCTTGCATACTAATTTTCCACAAGACTAATGAATGCATTTAATTTTCAATCTCCAATCGATCACTTCTATTTCGTTAAAATGCATTAGCCTTTCAACTCTATGATTTACAGTGTTATACGGATTAAGAAACAACATTCAGGTCAAGAGATATTAAACCGGTTCTGTAGAAACTTAAATTATAAGAAATACTATAAATAACCAAAATTGTCAAGTGAACAAAACAAGCAAAAGTCTTTTTTTTCTCATTCTGTCTTTTCATCTAAAGATTTAACAAAAAATAAAAAGCTGCAGCAATAAATTTTTTAGGATAAGGTTTTGTGTGAGTTAATCACCAAAATGTAATTCACTCGTCTTCTTCGATGACCTTGGTGCCCAAACCAGACAATCCTTCAGCAGGAATCTCAGCGACGGTGACGAGAGAGAAGAACTCTTCCTTGGCATCTTCATCATCGTTTCTCTTACGGGCAACGCGGACTCTGATTCTCCTTGGAGGACCTCTGATTCCTCTGCTCCATATCTGCTTGTTGAGCTTCACGTCCACTCGAACGTCCTTTGTTCCCATTGCTTTCAATGCAAACTTCCTTATCTCCTTAATCGCATTCGGTGCCTTCTTCTTGAATGTGCTGTGTTCATTACATTATATAAATGGTTAAATCACATTGCAGATTAAGCATTACTAAAACCGTATGACAAATCATGAGAACAAGTGGTTTTGCATAAGCGTCAAAACAAGCTGATTTTATAAATCTTTCTATTAATATTGATGATCATTTCTTATCTACAGTGGATGTCAAAATCATCTACAAACAATTAAGCATTTTCATTCCAACGTTATCAAATGGTTCAGAAGAAAAAAATAGAATTGTCAGGACAATGTAATTAAATTCACAGATAAACACAAAATGTTATGTTTTAAGCATCAGAGAAAGCCTAGAAACCAGTCAAATCGAACAGAGAGTAAAAGCAATGTTGAATACGAGTAAGCTCTCTACACTCAATTAAAAAAATTATCCGAGAGCAAAAGCATTGTTTAGTTCAAGTAAACTACATTCAGAGCAAATCCTAACTCGAATCGGAAGTTGACTCTAATCGTCATCAGCTAATCCAGAAGGGAAAAAGCATGATTTTATTTTCACCAGCAAATCGCAACGAGAGATTGAATTAAGAAGAAAAGCTTTGAGGTTGAAGATTACCAGCTATGGAGACGCCTGTGGAGATTGATGGTGTACTCCCTGGTAACGACCTCCTCCTTTCTTCCCTTTCCTTTCTCCATTTCCGACTCTCTCTGTCTCTCTCTTTCTTCTCAGAATGGAGTTGGAGACGGCACAGGGAGAGAAAAATAAACACAGGCAAGAAAACCCTAATATAATCCTTCCTTACGTTATAATTTGGGCCATAAATGGGCCTAACAGGCTTTAGGATACCATCAAATCCACGTTATGTTAAGAGTCCTTTTCTGACTTTACACTTTCCCAAGGTTAAGAAGAAGTTGACTTTGGCTAGTTGTTAATCCGAAAATGAGAAATTTTGTTGTTAATTACCATTGTTTTGACATCTCTAATACATTAGAGCAGCTGCCTGGGACCTCTTACGCCATCCAAGTCAGCACTTTTTCCTTCCTTCCCATCCCACGCTGCCACGTCACCTCCTTCTATCTCCAACTCTCATTCGTCGTTAAAAATCTAAACAAAATAAGCCCATTAGATTCGTCCCTCTGAGCCCATTAAACAATTCGACTCTTCTTCTTCCTCTTGGACTCACGATTCTGATTCCTCTTCTTCGAATCCGTTTCTCATATCAGATCGTCAATCAGGTTTGAGAGTTAATGGATGCTTCGGTTGAACTTCTCACTCTCCCTGGCTATAAATCCCTAGCTCATCCATGCCAAACAACGCATCCGAAGCTGCAGACCTCTTTATCGCTTAACCCTCAATTTTTTTCCTCGATCTAGCCACCATGGCCTCCAAAGCCATTTCTTCCTCCGCCAAGCCGCACACTTTCGAGGTCGTCGACCAAATCCAAGGTGTTTTCTGACTTTCTTTGCCTTTATGATTTTTTCTTTTTTGAGTTGTAGAATTTATCTCTCGCTTTGAAATTCTTCTTAAACATCAACTCTCCCTATTTCAGAGCACTGGACAGCAAGTACAAGGAGTTCTTAACCTAATTGACCTTGCTGGAAGTGAGGGACTAATCAAAGAGCAGGGCAACAGGAGAGCGGTTAAAGGAGACACGGGTATTTTTGCTTTACAATGAGAGTCTTCTAAGGCTATTTCCGTGTAGCCTTTGCACTTACGCTCTAATCTCTGTTCTTTCGTTTTCACCAGGCTATAAACAAAAGCTTATCTGCTTTGAGTGATGTCATATTTGCATTGGCAAAAAAAGAGGATCACGTTCCTTTCAGAAACTCCAAGTTAACATATCTGCTCCAGGTTAGATTACATACTCCTGAATCATTGTATGCACATATTGCCTCTATATGGATCTAACTAATGAAGGAGAATCGTTTGTTGAACAGCCATGTTTAGGAGGGGACTCAAAGACTCTAATGTTTGTGAACATGTCACCTGATCCATCTTCTTCTACTGGAGAGTCCCTTTGCTCTCTTAGGTTTGCAGCTAGAGTGAATGCATGTGAGATTGGCCAATTTGAGGTTTGAAAATTCTCACTCGATCATACCATATTAACTAATAATTACATGTATTATCTTCTGCCTATAAAACCACAGATCGATATAGCGTGTTTGTTTGCATAGTCGAGAGTAATGTGTTATCTCATTTGAACATGTTTTAGTTGTCCGCTTTGTAGCTAAGATTTTCTCGACAAAATGCTAAAGGGTTTGGTTATTGTTTTCAAAGTTTTCAAAGACATGTAATTAACACCATTTTCTTCTTTGATGGAAAATAGAGACTTGGCTTCGCAACTGATTGGGGGATCTTTGTTCCTGTTGTGTTAAGCATGAGAGTTGGAGATAGAATGTTGAGATTAATTGGAGGATCTTTGATCGGGTTGGTTTAACGACGAATGAACGTGGGAGTTGGAGATAGAAGGAGGTGGCGTGGCTCATCGTCTTTACAGAGATTGAAATGCTTCCTCAGTCTAGGCATAGGCATTTGGTTTCTTTGATAGGGTTATGCGATGAGAACAGCGAGATGATCATTGTGTATGAGTTTATGGAGAAAGGAACGCTTAAGAACCATCTGTATGACTTGGATGATGATGATAGCAAGAAGTTGAGCTGGAGACAGAGGCTTGAGATATGTGTTGGTGCAACTACAGGTCTTCACTATCTCCACACAGGCTCGGCTAGAGCGGTCATTCACAGGGATGTGAAGTCAGCTAACATTCTCTTGGATGAGAGTTTCATGGCCAAAGTTGCAGACTTTGGATTGTCTAAGACAGGTCCGGATCTTGATCAGACGCATGTGAGCACCGCGGTGAAAGGAAGCTTTGGTTATCTTGATCCAGAGTACTTGACGAGACAGCAGTTGACTGAGAAGTCTGATGTTTACTCTTTTGGTGTTGTGATGCTTGAGGTACTTTACGGGAGACCAGTGATTGATCCATCGCTTCCGAGAGAGGAAGAGATATTGGATCCTTTTCTTGAAGGGAAAGTGAAGAATGAAGAGATGAAGAAGTGCTTGGGGCAAAACGGAAGTGAGAGACCAACAATGGGAGATTTGTTGTGGAATCTTGAGTTCTTGCTTCAGGTACAAGCGAAAGACGAGAAAGCAGCAATGGTGGATGATGATCTAGAGGCGAGCGTCGCGGGCTCAAATGCTTTAGTACCTGAAGATTTAATGGTAGTAGTTGCCAACATCCCGCTCAAAGACCTTAAGGTAAAATGCAAGAGGTTGATAGGTTTGAAAAGCATCAAGGAACAAGACAGAGTAAAGATACTGCTGAATATGAATATGTGATGTTACAAGGCAGGCACATCAATGGGAAACGTATCTTATGGAGTCATGTCTGCTTGCTGATTTTTATTACGAATTCTCAACGTTTTTAGTTACTGGACAATACCAGAGCTGGTTTATAGCTCAACTTAGAGAACAACTAAATATTGTGCTATGTTGATGTTTTTTTGTTTGAAAGCCTTTCATTAATTTAAGAGAACCAGCTTATAAGAGGGAGAGGAGAGTGGATACCAGAACCAATCCACCTTACGTAGAGCAACAAGCAAAGAGAAAAAAGCAGAGCGAGAGTGATCAAATGTCTTGCGAGCAGTGCAAGACCTGCTATTAGAGCAAAAAATTGTCGTTTAAGAGACGCAACTACGTCGAGATGTCCCTCTTTTAAGTTTTTACTATTAACTAGGGGATAATCAAGCCTACTTAATTTCAGCTTCGCTTTGATTTGGATCTCTCATACTAATGTCCGGTTTCATATTTACTGGAATGAGCCAATCACTTTTCCTACATACATGATCATATTGAAGCTGATTATTCTACATCAAGGAACTCAAATGGGTTCGAAGGGTTAGTTGTTTCATTGAGTATTAAACTTTTTTTGGTGGATTATAGTATTAAAATTATAATGGTTCCCGGAAACGTTAAAACCATCCACTTCCCGGAAACAACTCCTATATCAATTGCTTTTAATCTGGAAAGGATTTGCACCCACATTCGTTACAAATTTTCTGGGGAAAAAACCATGTATGCCTAATCTTTTCCAAAAACGAAAAAAGTCAACTAAAATGTGAATATGCTGTATAACAGCACTATTGGATCCCTCACAGTATTAGAAAACCACGAAAACGTAAAACTGTTTATGCAAATCCTTTTTATTTATTTGGTTTCTAAATTATTACTTTTTTATGAAACAAAATGAGGTATACAAAGTTATTTTCAGTTCTGAACAATACTAGAAAAACAACTTTTAATCAACACAATTCATATGGTTACCACAACATTGCAATAAACTTAAGGAAACTCAAATTATCATTTGAATGTTATTATTCCCTTTTGTATTGTCGAAACTCTCCATAATGACCATAAATTGATCAATGACAATATTCTTGAGAAACAAAAAATGACATATGCCCCGCGCGTACGCGCGGGATAACCCCTAGTCAATTCATAATAAGGTCTTGTTGAGTACAAAAACATTTCCTCATTCTTTTGCTTAACCATATAACGAAACTTTTCTTTCAACAAATAATAATGATAAGATTTAAAAAAACAATTTGAGGTCTAATAAAGTTATTGATTTGATAAAAACGATCCAACCAAGCACACACGAGAACCATAGAGGATAATGAAAAGGTGCATAATAGTGTCATGGTTCCAACTTGAACAAAACAACTTAATAAGCCTGTTCAGCAAAATCTTTTAACTTGAAAAAACATACTGAGAAGAGAAAAAAGCTTAAGCTTGACGGTTTCTTTGCTTGGCACCGGACTTGGCAATCCTAAGGCTTTTGCTGATGACACTGAGTCTAGCAAGAGCTGCTTTCCTCAAGTCTGGCCTGTAGTAGTTGTCAACCACCTGAACCAATTTCACAAGAAAATTTGGTTAAATGCCATATACGCGACAAATATAAGCACGGCGTAATGTGTAAACGAGTCATGGTGCTGATCAATTCCAAAACATATCTACACACTGCCAAGCGTAACAATATATGTAATCACAGAAGCCATGTTCTTCAATATTAGGATCACAATTACAGCAAGGAATATGAAGACTAATCCGAATCAGAGGTGTACAATAGCATGTATAAGTAAAAAAATCTACACCTAAAAGCAAAACATAAACAGTGGCATAGAAACAACCATCAAAAGTCAAGATATAAAGACCTGGTTAGCAACGGCCTTGGACATCCTGTGGAAGTCTTTCTTAAGGACAGACTTGTTGACAGAGAGCTTAGGCTTGTTCTGCTTCTTGGTCTTGGTGGTGGCGAGCACGACACCTTCTTTGCCAGCTGGCTGGATGGTCACTGTCTTCTTGTTTGCAAGACCTAAAGCAAACATCCAAAAGATCCATTTCTCAACTGATTAATCAAGTAGCTTTAGCAAAGTAACAAATGATCAAACAATTCATATAGACACCCAAACAATTCAAGATTGTGCTTTAACCTAAATCAAGCAGCCAATTTCATTCATCAAGAAACAAATCCAGTAGAATTCATACGGTGGAAACAACAATCAATTTCTCAACAGCTTTCGTATATTGAATCAATTAACCAGAGATCTAAAGTAACAACATTTCTCATTTCTCAGCAAATTTTACTCAAAACACATATATATATATATATATATTCTCGAGTGTGAAAATTACCAGAGTGCTTGTAGGAGTTAAGGTTGCAGAGATTGTTGCTCTCCTTGCTGAATTGGACCTTAGCGTTGCCTCTACCGAACTGTTTCACCACGAAACAGTTGTTTCTCTTCACGATCTCCCAGATCAATTGTCCTGGAACTGTTGCCATTTCGAAACCTACAATACACCAAAACCAATCAACAAAAATGAAACTAGATCAATAATACACTTGTGAACAGATCGATTTCTAAAGAGCACGACGAATCACAAGATCTATCAAAATGAAACAATAATCCTACAAGCTCAAGGAACAGAAACGAGAACAATCGAGAGTGGATCTATAAGCTCACCGTTGAAATTCGCCGCGAGAGAGAGAGAGAGTGAGACTCGGTTTTTGATGGTGGCGCCGGAGCTTTGTGGTATGACGATCGAGCTATTTATATACGACCTCTGAAAGACAAAAACCCTAGCTCATTTTACTGTGACGCAAATAAAATAAAATATTTTTTCTTACCCCTAAACTTTGTTAACATTTTGAGAATACCACAGGAAAAAGAAACGTTACTAAAAACCCCCCATTTGCTTAGCTGTGAAAGTTAGGGGTTTTAGATTCCTTGATTCTATTCCAGAAATCGGAAATCCTGATCTGAGAGAGAGAGAGAGAGAAATGGGGAGGAGGATATTGAACGACGCGTTGAGAACGATCGTGAATGCGGAAAAGCGAGGCAAAGCTTCTGTGGAGTTGAAGCCTGTCTCTACCGTTATGTCCTCGTTCCTCAGAATCATGAAGGAGAAAGGTGAGATTTTTCATTCTCCCTTTTATGATTCTTTCTCCTTGAACAATTTGGGTCTTAATTCATTTCCACAAAATTTCCAGCTACTTGTTTAGATTCATGAGATTGCTCGACATTTTTCAGTCACTTGGTTGTGGTGGTCAAGTATCTAAATTCTGTGTGATTGATTGGTTTATGAAACTGATGTCCCTTATTGTTAGTACTTGAGCTGACCTCAAACCGTATAGCTCAAGCATTGCAATGTAAAAAGACTGATAACATTATCCAAAGATAAGCTTTTGTTCTTAGTTGACAACTGTAGTTGCAGATGATTGAAAAGTTTATGTTTTTGACTCGTATGATAACATATATCTTGATCTATGGTTGTAGAAAGGAATGTCTGCTCCATTTCCATGTCTACGGTCTAATTTAGGCTTATTTCGATTTTGCTTTATGTATCACATAATCTTGTTTTGAGTATCCTTAATCAACATAGCAATGTATGCTTGTGTTTGGAGAATTGGATATTTTGTTGCTCTATTACTTGACAAGATGTATGCTTTATGTACAGGTTACATCAAGGACTTTCAAGTGTATGATCCACATAGAGTTGGAAGAATAACTGTTGATCTACAAGGAAGGGTTAATGATTGCAAAGCTCTCACTTATAGGCAAGACGTCAAGGCTAAAGAGATCGGCGAGTACACTGAACGCACACTTCCCACACGCCAGGTTTGATTTTGTCCTGTCGTGTAATCCGAATATCCAACTAATAGTAGCAGTAACTTAACCTTGTGTTTAACTTGTTGAATGCAGTGGGGCTATGTTGTAATGACAACTCCTGATGGCATTTTAGACCATGAAGAAGCTATTAAAAGGAATGTGGGTGGTCAAGTTCTTGGTTTCTTTTATTGAGTTGTTCGCAAGAGGTTCAAATTCTGAGGAACATGTATTTTGTTTGGCTTTTTCAACATTGTTTGTTTCGTTTCTTGTACTGTACTTTGAGCAAAATGACAATCAGAGAACAAAGTTTATTTCTGTTGTGACAACGTTTCAAATGTTATTATATAATCTTTAGCTTCACAAAGTGACCTATTATCCACACAAAAACAAAAAAACAAAAACAATAGTATGTAAAAGAAAACCAATCAAGAACAAGCAGAATCACACCACTGCTTCAATGTGTATAATGTGTAAGAATATCAAACTCAATCAGAGTAAAGAATGAGTGGGACTGATCTCTGTGACAAGGAACAAATATATGAACAAATGGAGGATGAGCAGGTTCAACGGCGGTTAGTAGAACGGAGAGCACCGAGCCTTGCAAAGATATCGTCATAATCAGGGAGGTTAGGATGAACATGACTAGCTCTCTCCTTTGACGGGGTTTCTGGATCTGGTGATTTTACAGTTTGTGGAACAGAGCTGGAAGTTACTGTCTTGTGCTCTGAAGTTGATTTTGGAGATTGCTGGTCATAAGACTCTTGGTCGGTTTTCGTTGTTGTCACTGGAAATGAACGCTTCTCATGAGCTTTCACTTGCCCCTTTGTCCTTAGAGAGAACCCTTTTGTTTTAGCTGGCTTGGCATTATCAACTTGTTCCTCATCTCTCATTCCCGTTGTTGGCTTATGAGTCCTCTCTTGACCTCTGGCAGAAGCTCTTGTTGGAAGCTCGTCCTCTGAGTCATCATCATGGGTGAAATGGGAATGGTGTGAGGATCGAGGTTTTGTTTCTCTTCTTCTTGTACGAAGTTGGATCTCTGAGTCGTCGTCATCACTAGAAGACGGATGTGGTGGTGTAGAGCTTGGTCTCTTCTCGCTGTTGCTTCCTTTCTTAGTGTAGATATCTTTTCTGCTACTGCTAGAAGTAGGCATTGACTGACCAAAATCATCCGTTCCATTGTGTTCCTTTTCAGACTTGGACAATCCCTCGTTTGTTGCCGGGCTAACTCTGTAAGGTGGGAGTGTCTTTTTGTTCCTAAATCCACCGAGCAAAGGTCTAAAATTCAGACCAGTCTGAGCATCTGCATCAGCCTCAGAATCTGATTCGTCCAGTGTCCTTGAATCATCTTTGTGATGTTCTTCATGTCTCACAGGATCAGAGACTTGAAACTTCTGAGATCGATCAGATGTCAGATTCTCCATTACTTTACCTCTGTGTCTCGGCTGATCATCATCGCTTTCTGAATTTCGACCATAATTGTCAAACTTGGCATGTGGGTCGGGCTCATGGTAAGAAGCCGGAGGACTTGTAGAGACATCATCAAAGAATGGAGAACTTGAGCTGTAATTTCCACGAGAGGTATTATGGTCTCCTTTGAAGCTCCAGGAAGCAGCTGGTGTTGGCTCAAGAGTAGGTGCATTGCTGCCAAGCAATGAAAATCCCACACCATGATCGTAATCATCTTCAGCGTCAAACTTAGGTTTATCGAAATAAGAGCCATAATCATCAAAAGTATCAGCACCAGCATCATCATAACGTCCATGCTCATGGGAATCTATATCTTTAAAGCTGCTATGAGACCGGTGATCATAATCAGTGGCAAAAACGTTTTCCTCCACGACGCTCGGTGTCTTCCTGTAATCTGAGCCAGTGACATCCTCATCAGAATAGTTGCTTGAATGTGAATGCGATGAAGCCCTGCTTGACTGCTTCCTGAGGTGAGCATCTTCCGAGTAACCAACGCTTACATCCTCCTCATCCTCGCTTTCACTTGGCTGCTTCTCTCTACCTGTTTTACCAAAGGAACCATTCTTTCTCAAGCTCTCCAAGGAATGTCTCTCTGATGGCTTATCTACAGGCGGAATCTCGGATTCCTTTGCTCTACCGTATCTATCTTGTCGGGTTCTGTCCATAACATTTCGTCTTGGAGATGAATGATCTTCAGAAAAACCTTCGCTTTGTACATTGGATCTGTTGTGTCTGTGTGAAGGTTCGTTTCTGAAGTTAACCGAAGAAGAGGATACATGAGACTCTGGTGAATCCTGTCTCGTCATCCTTTCTTTGCTGGAAAGCTCAGCAGCTGCTCTAGCAGCAAAGCTTGCTCTTTCAGCAGCTTCAGCAGCCGCACGCGCAGCATCCGTAGAATCGAAAAACTCACTAGTTTCCCACCTATGGTTACTTCTTGAAGATGGATTATCATCGCCATGGTTTGGATTTCTACATTCTCCTTCATCAATCCTAGACTCTGTCAAACAAAACAACATCTCGATGAATATTTCAATCAAGAAACAAATAAAACAGAAACAGCAGAATGAAAGAAAACGCTTACGAGAAGGTCTTGCATTTGGATGATGATCTTGATTGTTGCTATGGCTTGAAGATCTTCCATCACTTGCATAGTAAGAGTTGTCTGATGAATGATGTCTCTCACTTGATGTATGTTGAGCATTGACAGGAGCTGGTGGTTGGACGTTTCGAGGTGGTTCCACGTTTACACTACTCGCTGACTGAAACGTGCTTGCTCCACTCTAAAACACAAAGTAGAGTAAAAGTTACGGTTAACGTTAGCAAATAGATAAAACAACAAAAGAGTTTGCCTTTACACTGAAGAAAAACGTTATTAGTACTTACCAAGAGCTCAGTGTCTTTAGGATCTGGTTCCATAAAAGATTTCGCCTCCCATACAACATTATGCTCCGTAGCAATTTCCATCAAGATCTTGACTTTTGTTGGACCATCGGGTGCTTTGGCAGACAACTTCTCCACCAACTGTAAAGATAACAAGAATCATAATCAAGAAACGGTTCTTAACATCAAAAGTTCTTATTTTTCCATACTAAACCACTTACCAGACGGCTCACACCAGAATCTGGACGCAACTCAATAGCGGACGTAGCAAAATCCTTTCCATACTTGGTTGTGAATTGCTTGGCGATTTCAGAGAACTCGGGAACATCTGACGATAACCTCTGGGAAGCAAATAAGACACTCGCGACGGCTTCTTTCAGATCAATGGGGCAGTTTCTGCAAGTAAATATCACAACCAATCAATACATTATACAGAAACAAAGAGTGTATAATATAAAGTTCACCATATAAACCAAAAAAAAGGAGGAGAATTTTCTTACTTTTGAGAGTCGATAACATCCAAACGAACAGCAATAAGTTCGCAATAGATTCCAATGAGCTCATAAGCAGCGACTGTCTTCTCTTCCCTCACCACATGTTCCACCTGAGAGAGACATTCCCAAATTTCATCAGCAAACAACATTAGTGAAACTGACTAAAACCCAAAGATGAGATTGCTTACCCGAATTCGAGCTTTAGGGGTGTGCCCAGCTTCGAGCAATTTAGCTAATTCTCTCCTCAGCTGTGTAATCTGGATCTCTTTCTTGTTCTTCAGTATCTTCAGGCGTGGAATCGCCATGTTCAAAGCTGTTTTGCTGCATTTATAATATCAACGAAAATCAAAACGGATGAAACAGTAAAAAAAAAAAAAAAAATCATCCAATTACTTAGATCATTCAGATATAATCTGAAACAACAAAAATCAGATTAGACCATAGAAGGAATCTGTAAATTTTAACATATTCTCAAGCAACATTAAGATGGGAATCAAAAAAATAAAAAATTACGAATCGATTTACCATTTAGCAGGCTTAAAGCCTCGATGAAGCACCTTCTTCATGGAGCGAAAATCGGAAACCGTTCGACCTTTACAGTCAAAGAGAAATCGATCGAATCCGAGAGAAAAAAAGGGTTTTTATTGCTTGATATATAGAGGAGAGCAGACGACAATCTGTGATCCGAGGAATTGGAATTTACGCAGAAGAAACGTATATTGATATAAGAGCAGAAGAAGAAGGAGGAAGATGAATAAAACTAGAATATAGGTTGGACTCTGCGCGAAATCATTAATTATATGTTTTTTTTTTAGTGACGTGTTATGAGGAAAGCGTGTAATAAAAACTGTAATACCCGCAAGGATTAGGAAAGTTCTTTTATTCGAGGAGACTGACTTTTCAATCAAATTAATTTTGTGCTAATCTGTTTTGGTTTTAATGTTTTCTAGTCGAAGTAGGAGGCCTTGGAAAATAATTTGTTACCGTGTTTTCTTTGATTTTTGAATAAATGGTTAAATTGTTAGGTCCCAAATTAGGACAAAACTAATGATGATCAAGAACAACAAAGAACACTTTGGTTCTTAAGACACAAGTTACTTCAATATTTTCTTCATATCCTTTTCATTAACGAGATGATGTCTTAAATATACAATAAGGAAATAAACTAACTCTTACCTATTACATGTAGTGGGATCACAATCCCTTAATCTTAGGAGTAACCGTAGAAGCATGTTCTCATCATAAATCTTGTCTTGAATTAAACTATTTTTCAAGAACATCCGAGAAGCAGAGTATGTTTTGTGTCAACAATTTCAACTTTGTGATTGTTTCACTTTTAGCAACAACGGAACAATTACAAGAGAGAAAAGAGAGTAGAAAAGTGTAATTCAATGGTGTTTGAATTAAGCTAAATCTATCTGAAACTTGCAGTGGTAATTGTTCAAGTAATCAATCATCATCACCAAAAGAATCTTCTAAACTACTGTGGACGGAAACACACTCAGCTCCAACACCAATGTGATCTCCCTCCAATGGTATAAAACTCAGAGCTCAGTTTTCATATCATTGCCTAATTGACTGAATAAGATGCCAATGTCCATTCCTTGATCCACCGTTGGTATGACTACTGAATAAGGGCATTGCGTTGAAAATCCGACCTTTTTGTTTTTGGACTGTTTTATGGATTTGCTAAGCCTGCTTACGCATTGCTTAAACTTCTTATGGCAGCTTATGTTAGTTATACACAAACCAAGACCAAAAATTTACCATTTAAACCCTTTACACCATAGCTTAAGAACAAGGGATATGTTTTCAATTCACTAAACTAAACAAAGTATATATTGAGACAAATAGATATATGCATATATTGTGCTGGGCGGGTATGTGAGGGTTGGGATGTGTCATTATTACATAGAGAGTTACATGTGTCTCATTAAGATAACCATATAATCTTATATATATTAAAACATAAGCATATATTGATAACAAAATACATTACTTTATAAAATTTAGATAACCATATCAAAATATATAGACAACCATGACAAAGTATAAACAACTATTTTACAATAGAACAAAACATAAGCATATATCAAAGCATATATGTTAGCAACTAAATACATTTTTATATAAGTTTATAAAAAAAATATGGACCACCATATAAAAATTTACACAACTATTGGTCGTGATTCTCTTATGTGACAGACGCATCGCAGCCGTCAAATTGCTTTCAGCCAGAAATTATGTATGCATTCATGTTTGTAGTCTCCTAAACCCTAAACCCTAAGGAGTCTACAAAAAGCAGAAAGCCTCTCGGTTACGGAGCAGAGCAGTCACACAAAAAACCTAATTTGCTTTAGCAAAGAGAATCGTCGAAACCATGTCTTCCTTGAGCAGCAAATTCTCCAGTAAGTTGCGTCTCTATATATCCATGTCTGCGTTGAATCTGTTTGGCATCGATAATAGATCCTGTGTGGTTAAGTTATTTGATGTAATCAGTTAGTTAGTTTTCACGATTACCAGTCTAGTCTCTGTTTTGTCTAAACTTTGAATAGAATTGATTTTTCAAATCCTTTGTTCCGTTTAATCTTGCAGCGGCTGAGACGAGGGTCTTCTGGAACCTGGATGTTTGCCCAATCCCTGCCGGTCTCAGTCCTGCTTCGATCTCCGCTAATATCAAATTAGCTCTCGAGAATATGGGCTATACTGGCAACATGTCGATCCTTGCATATTCGGTTGAGAAGCAGAGCCAAGAAGTTGAGTTTGAATCTGCCCAGATCAAGCTTATACAACAACTAGGTCAGTTCCTTTACCTCTCTCTCTCTCTCTCTCTCTCTCTCTACTGTTTTCCCTTTCTCATACATACTATTTTTCAGGAACCCGTCAAGAAAAAGTAGATAAGATGTATGACAACCTTTTAATGTGGGGAATAGCACATCGCAGTGAAGCAACAAATGTGATGGTAATCTCTGATGGCCTCGCACCAAAAGCTGATTTGGTTTGTGGGCTTGTCATTTTAAAAGCCCAAGAACACAATATTCTCGTAGCTCAACCTCGACGTGATACTTCCTCTTCAACATGGCTTTGGGAAAGTGTGGCATCAACATGGCTTTGGGAAAGTCTGGCAACTGGAGGGAGCCCTATCAATGGCCAAAGCATCAGACCAGAACCAGCTACTCCGTCTCCAACTTGTTCTGTTTGCAGCAAAAGGGCACTTCGTCTTGCCAATAAGCGAAAGAAGCGTCGGACCAAACCTTGTCTCAAAAGGCCAGAGAGCAGCTCTTCGAATCCTGTTCCTGATCCTGAGGACCCGTGGTTGTTTCTTTGGCGAGGATTTTAATTTCTTTTTCGTTTGTTTTTTGGTGTGAGCTTTGATCGTTTAATCAAACCCTTGTTTCAAATACCTTTAAATCGAATTAAAATCCTATACCTAATCCTTGTTTTTGGTGCGATATGGCATCGTGTGTCTTCTCCTATACGTAATCGAATTGTCTCCCACTCATACGTGTTTAGTTGGTGGTTAATTTCTCAACATCTAAGAAATGATATGAAAAACCAAACTGTACGTAGTTGCTTGTCCTTTCGCCGTCTCAGTTTCATTACCTGCAATGTTTCCACCTCCACCCCTTCAAAAAATATACTTTTTTTACATTTATTATGAAACATATTAACTTATCTAACAAAATTTAAACCAACACCAAATATAATAAAGAAACAGTATAATGCAATTTTAGCTATGCATAATAACTTGCGAATCAAGAAAGATGGTAGGAGACTACACACATGAATGCATACATATTATGTGAAAAGAGAGTACAAAAATGTTATTCAATGGTGTTTTAATTAAAGCTGAATCTATCTGAAACTTGCAGTGGTAATAGGTTATCATCATAACCAAAGAATCTTCTAAACTACTGTGGACGGAAACACACTTAGCTCCAACACCAATGTGATCTCCCTCCAATGGTATAAAACTCAGAGCTCAGTTTTCATATCATTGCCTAATTGACTGAATAAGATGCCAATATCCATTCCTTGATCCACCGTTGGTATGACTACTGAATAAGGGCATTGCGTTGAAAATCCGACTTTTTTGTTTTTCGACTGTTTTATCGATTTGCTAAGCCTGCTTACGCATTGCTTAAACTTCTTATGGCAGCTTATGTTAGTCATACCTGCACAAACCAAGACCAAAAGTTTAGCATTCAAATCCTTTAAGCCATAGCTTAAGAACAAGGGATATGTTTTCAATTCACTAAACTAAACAAAGTATCTTTCAGATGTTAACTTTCAGCTCTGTTTATGGCCTAATGTGGCATATCATTCTTCTCACAAGTCAAAATGCTACACTCAGTTTGAGCCAAACTGTAATTTTCCAGATGATATGTAATACCAAAACTACATTTCAAGCACACCTAAGAACGGTCTGATTAACCTTATTGTCATCTAAAAGTACTTGAAAACACAAATCAAACAGTAATTAAAGGGGGATTTGCAATCTTGATTGATTTACCATTAGCCTCAACGCAACTGTCATGGACCATACAACAAGCATCAAGATCATCACAAGGCTCCTCCCCAGGACATCCCGAGTGTCCAATCCCACAATACTTCCCATATCGAATTGACAGAGCTGAAACAAATCTAAGTGAGTAGCTAAAACGCAAAAGTAGTTTCCTCAAAAAAACTAAAAGTTTGAATCTTACTGTTGCAATTCTGTGCAATGCAGGTTCTTGTGCATTCCTGTGACAATTTGGTTCAACAAACAAAGACAAAAAAATCAATAATGGAGTGAAATAGCAAATCCTTGTGTCAATCTGAGATCTTGGCAAGGTTTAGTCAATTCCATACAATGCGATTAAGAATGAAAGGTCAAGGGAAAAGGTTAAACCTCGCTGCGAACCACATCGAGGAGGACGAGTACGACGAAGAAAGCTGCCGCGAAACGCATCGAAGAAAAGCGAATCATAATTATCGTCGTCGTGGTCTCTCTCTGTTTAGCTAATTGCCAAGTAGAAGTTTCTGGATTTGGTGTATCGTCGTCGGTGTCTTCTTCGCTAAGGTTTCGAAAAAATAAAATGGTGAAAATTTCCAATTGGCGTCTCTCAAAGATCTCTCATTGGTCTTCCTTCTTTCTCGCCGCTCATTCTTTTACATACCAAATTTTATTATTTAAAAAACAAAATAAAAGATTGTCTCTGAGATTTTGAATTATCTTCAGTCCTCAAATAAAATCTTTTGACTTAAACTTATGATATCAGTTTCTCTAATTTCTTGTGAATAAATATCAGTTTTCTCCCCCAACTCACATCAGTTACGTTATAAGAAATATTTTTTTGTTCCTACAATTATGAAAATCATAAAAATCCTCGGATGTTTCATTTGATCAACCAAAATATGAATCTTTTCGAGTAAAAACATTACAAATATCTAAGAAAAATCTTGTAAGTTGTTGTATCAACTGCATTTCCTCAACTCTTATTTAAGAGCTTTACCAAAACTCTGTTTCATTGAAAAGACTGAAAAGGTAAAAAATGGATTCGAGGGAGTGAGCCATCACATGGAGGAAAGTTACAAGTTTCCGGCGACATTGACATTGTTGTCGACTCAGTTTCAGGGGTAGTAACCGGTGAAAGTGAATCCTCTGCCAACGATTTCACCTGCGCAATACCAAGCAAAGCACTCTAGGCCAAACAATGCAGCGATCCCTGCATGTTCCACCTTCAGATCCGCTCTGTTCTTCAATAAGGTCTTTGCGTAGTCTACTTCTTTCCAGAATGTCTCGTAACGCCCGGGAATGCTGCACCGGATTAACAAGAGTATTATCAGTTACAGAACCAATGATTGCAAATTACAGATAGCAAAACGCAGTCTAGTGGTTAGAATGTGTTCTCGTCAATAGCATTACAGTACATAGATTCACAGTATGGCCAATTTCAGTTCTGTCAAAGTCTATATATCAAAGTCTACGTCTCCTGGTGATTCTGAAAAATGTCTAGAGATAAAGGGAGTGAGTAAAGATAGTGACCTAGCAAGACGAGTGTAGAGCAATTGCTTAGACAACTCGCTGCACTTCTCTATCGTTGCAGGCTCTTGAATGTATTGCTTGTTCTGCTCCAACAACTGTTTGTAGTAGGAACTCCCATGCTTGGCCACAAACTTTGTTGCCTGACATGCCTTTGCCTGAAGTTGTACCAGTTTTGATGCCATGTTTCAAAATTCACTTCCTTCAAAATCATAAACAATTTTTTTAAGGAAAATCCAAATCAGCTTTTACTACTACAAATTCAGAAATTAAAGTCTGACAAGAGAGAGAGAGAGGCAAGCTCATCAATCAGTACAATTCCAAAGCTTCTCAAGCAAATCATAGGAATCTTAGTCGCTATTCCTAAAAAGCTTGAAGCTTCACTACTTGAGCTAAGAATATATAGACGTAATTCAGCTCATGTGTTCATTACACGCCTCCACGATGAAACTCAATATCCCAAAAATGTAATTTCAGAATCAAGTCATCCAAAAGATCGAGCCTTTCCGACGAATTCGCACATATCAAGCTAAATCACTATAACCCTAGTCCTAAATTCGAGAATCACAGATCGAAAGAGTCACATTAGTGGATCAATTAAGCAAATCAAAACCCATGACTCCGACATAGAATTATCGCAGTGAAGAGATGAAAGATAGATCTGAGACTCAAAACACAGAATAACAAACTCTATAGACAGATATGAAATCAATGGAGAACGAAACTGTGATCGTCACTAATCCGTACCTTCTCCGGCGTGCTCGCCACCAGCGTGAGAAGAAGAATCAGAAGGAATCCTAAATCTCACCTACACTGCTTATAATCATGAGAGTAACCGAACCGGATCGGTTATAATCAGACCGGTTTTTCTTTCAATAAAAATTGGACCGGCGGCTAAAGAAACGACCGTAAACATAACTCTGTCTTCCTAAAACTTTTATAACCCTAAAGGCTAAACCTTTGCTGTTCAAATCTCTCTCCAAAGCCCTAATTCCCTCTATCTCTATCTCTCTCTCTCTTGTGAAATGACTAGTACGAAGAACAACCACAACGAGCAGGAATCAAACGGCTCTGATCAAAATCAGAACACGAAGTTACGCCTCGAAGATGCTGATGAATCAATGTGCGACGCCGATGCCGCTGATGACATAACCAGCGCCGATTACTACTTCGATTCTTACTCACATTTTGGTAAATCCTCAAAATTTAATAAATGAATTGCTTCCTTAACGCTTTCTTCTCCACAAAGTGCTAATTTTTGTTCCCATTTGATTTGTTTTTGCAGGTATTCATGAAGTAAGTCATCTTACATTTTGAGTGGAACTCCTTTGTTCTGTATAATCGCTCTGACTTGATGATGATGATTGTCTTGTTATTACAGGAAATGCTAAAGGATATAGTGAGGACAAAGAGCTATCAAGATGTTATTTACAAGAACAAGTATCTCATCAAGGACAAAATCGTTCTTGATGTCGGAGCTGGAACAGGAATCTTGTCTCTGTTCTGTGCTAAAGCAGGAGCAGCTCATGTATACGCAGTATGTCTTCATCTTCTTCTTTAATCACAAATTGCTCCGAATTGATTTGGTTACACAATGTGATTGACAAATGATTATTTTCAATTAGGTCGAGTGTTCTCAAATGGCTGACACAGCAAAGGAGATTGTTAAGTCGAATGGACTTTCTGATGGTATAAGTCTTTAGATTGTTCTTCTTCAAATGGATAATAATCTGATGGAAATTAGCTGAAACAACTGTTTTGATTTTTTTTCCGGCAGTTATAACGGTCTTGAAAGGCAAGATTGAGGAAATCGAGCTTCCTGTTCCTAAAGTGGATGTGATCATCTCTGAATGGATGGGTTACTTTTTGGTTTATGAGAATATGCTTGACACCGTCTTGTATGCTCGCAATAAATGGCTTGTGAGTAAAAGTTTTCGCCTTGATTGGTTTCATTATAGCTTTAAAAACTTCTTCTTTATTTATGCTTTGGGGGGTTTTTGTTCGTTAGGTTGATGGTGGAATTGTTCTACCGGATAAAGCTTCGCTGTATCTTACAGCCATAGAGGATGCTCATTACAAAGAAGACAAAGTAGAATGTCAGTGTGAAGAAGAAGATTGTTGTCACACTATTCTTATCAAGAATTGATTTTCTTACTCTGCTTTTTGCCTCTTGTCGTTTCCTATATACAGTTTGGAACAATGTGTATGGGTTTGACATGTCTTGCATCAAGAGAAGAGCAATTACGGAACCTCTTGTAGACACTGTGGACGGAAACCAAATCGTTACTGATAGCAAGCTGCTAAAGGTAAGTTAGATTGTGCTAAAGTAGTGACTGAATTCTCAAGCTTGTCCCTTTAGTTACCTTTGGCTAATGCAAATTCAATTTTTTTTGTAAAGACCATGGATATCTCTAAGATGGCTTCTGAAGATGCGTCCTTCACAGCTCCATTTCAGCTTGTCGCGAAACGGAATGACCAAATCCATGCCCTTGTAGCCTACTTTGATGTATCATTCACCATGTGCCACAAGATGATTGGTTTCTCAACAGGTTTCACACTTTTCCCCTGCCAAAGATTTATAGCTGATGCTATGTATAGCTTCTTTGTCAATGTTTGGGATTTATGATACGATCTCAAAACGCAATGCAGGACCAAAGTCTAGGGCTACGCACTGGAAACAAACGGTGCTGTACCTTGAAGATGTGTTGACGATATGCGAGGGTGAAATGATCACAGGAAGCATGAGCATTGCACCTAACAAGAAGAATCCAAGAGATGTTGATATAAAGCTCAGTTATTCTTTGAATGGCCAGCATTGCAAGATCTCAAGGACCCAACTCTACCGAATGCGGTAAAAGCTGTCTCTCAAAGGAAGCAGAGCCAATCTCCCACCAAGTCTCTCATTCATCATCTTGAGGCTGAGAAAGACAATGCTCTTTTGTAATTCTGTTGTTTCCTACTTTTTTTTTCCAACATTTCAAAACAGGAAAACCAGAAACTCCTCCCATTGGTTCTATTTAAAGCTTCTCTCTTTCTCTCTCCGTTCTTGGAAGATAGACGTTGAAATAGGGCATAAACTGAAATGGGAGTAGCATGGCCTTAACATGAATATGTCAGTGTAGTTCTGAAAACATGAAATAGAAGATGAAAATAACAAAGAGTGCTTCAAATTGGAACAAGTCAAACTTTTTTTGAAGACTTGAATGCTCTTATTGGCAGCCAACTATCTCCAAGCTAAAATCCAACACAAAATGTCGATCTCAATCTTAATGTGATAAGAATCGTTTCTGTGGTCCGAGTTCATTTAATATATGTAAGGTCAGAGCAAGAGTCCTGGAAAAAAGATAACCAAACCAATCACCTTGAAGAATCCAGAAAGAAAAACAAGAAACCCGTTTCAAAATCACCATGGAAGAAGTAGAGGTTCGACATCAAGATCTTGAAAGTAAGCAAACCAGCATGGAAATAGTAAGAGTACCACAACTTCACAAGCATCCTTTGATCCCTTTTACTCGCTTTGAATATGGTCGTTGTGAAGGCTGCCGCTCACGTCATGACGATCATCACGCTGTGGGGAGCCATAAAAAGATTTACATATACGGAGGCTACTGTTGCAATGAGCTCGGATGTGATAAGGTTCTGTTCCATACAGAATGTGCCAAGCCCTTACAAGAAACCAACCACTCTTCTCATCCAGACCATCCCCTCAAACTAGTTATCCAAGACTCGCAACAATCTACTTGTTTCAAGGTCGGTTATTCTTGCACAATATGTGACTTCAAGTTGGATTTGGAGTGTGCGAGGAGACAAGAACCACTTGTTCTTCCTGCAAATTCTCACGGACACGAGCATCCACTGGAACTAGTCCGTGAACCTAGCCTTGGCACCAAATGGAAAACTTGCAAAATCTGTCTAAACAAGACAGTCACGTCACATTATAGATGTCAACAGTGCGACGAATTTGTCATCCATATGGATTGTGTATGTTTTTCTCCCGAAGCATACCACACTTCTCACCCTCAACATCCTCTCAAGTCACTTAAATGTCAAGTCCCTGATTACGCCGACGACAAGTGTCTTCTTTGCAGGACAAAGTTTGATAATCATCATCACCAGCTTCACCACTGCGATGTTTGTAACTTCAGCATATGCAGAGCATGTATGAAAGATCCACCACCGGTTGATCTTGAAAGCCTGACGACACACCAACATCAACTTCATCTTTTTCCAAGACGCATGGATTTCACTTGCAATGCTTGTGGGACTCTAGGTGACCGAAGCCCTTATCTTTGTCATCAATGCAACTTCATGATTCATCGGGAAAGCATCGGCTTACCACGTGTCATAAACATCAACCGCCACGATCACCGCATCTCTTACACACCTCGTCTTGGACATGGAGAGTGGAAATGCAAAGTTTGCCGTAAAAAGGTTGATGGTTTCTACGGGGCTTATTCTTGCTTCAAGTGTCATGCTTTTTCTGTTCATTCAAAGTGTGCGACGAGAAAAGATGTATGGGACATGGTGGAACGGGAAGGGACATCCGAAGAAGAAGAGATCATTGCGCCATACGAGGTGATTGATGACAACACGATCAAACATTTCAGCCATGATCATAACTTACAACTCAACAAAGATGAGAATCATGAGATGATGATTCTACCTGAAAGCACACTTTGTGTAGCGTGTGTCTCACATATTTTCTCAGAACCTTTCTTTAGCTGCAAGCAATGTGGTTTTATCATCCATGAAAAATGTGCTAACCTTCCAAGGAGAAAACGTCATATGCGCAACAACAAGCCATTCACAGTAAGAACAGATTCTCACAGAGAAGTTTCTTGGTGTAAGCTTTGTCATCAATACTTCACCGGTTTCAGATACGAATCTGGTCCTTATTTGACTTTAGATGTACGATGCGCTTCAGCTACAGATACACTTGTGCACGAAAGCCATCCACATCCTTTACACTACTACTCTAGATATAGCCATGATAAGCCTTGTAGTAGATGTGGGTCCAAGTATGGTTTATATAAATGTGATGAGTGTGACTACATTTTGGACGGCAAGTGTGCTCTTTTACCGGAAAAGGTAATGAGAAATAGGTACGATGATCATCCTCTCTTCTTGTCTTATGGTGGTGAAAGAAGAAGTGTGGATGGTGAATATTGGTGTGAGGCATGTGAAACAAAAGTGGATCCAGAGAGAGGTTTTTACACATGCAATGATTGTGGAGTATTTTTGCATGTTTCTTGCGTTGTGGGAGTCTTCTCGTATATCATCCCAGGTTCATCAGTTAGTTGCTGCGCTGTGAGAGTGAGAGACGTCACTCATATCGAGCTACGACCAGTAGAAACAAGGTCGAATGAAGAAGTGGTGTCTAACACCTCTCTCTGTAGACCACTTTGCTTTGTGTGTAATTCTCGTTACAAGCTCCCTCTTCTATTCTTAAGGTTTTCAAGGATGGAGTTGATGTATACGTTTGTTCTTTAAAATGTTGTAGAAAACTCTTTAAAGATTGATGATATGCTGCATATGCATAATGCATGTTTTAGTTTATAAAACATGAGTGTATACATATTGAAGAGTTACATAAAATCAAACGGTGTCCTCTTTTAAGTCACACAGATACTCACATAAACTATTTATTTATAGATGATGTGTGACCTACTAAATACCTAAATGTATGTCTAAATTAATTTGATATTTGAGTAACATTTTACCCACACAAAAAAGTGATATTTGAAAGGAGGTGAAGACATTTAGGTTTTGTAAATACATTTGATAGGATATATATGACTAAACCATTAATAAAAATTTAAAAATGAATAAAACCTTATCAGGCTTAGCTGTCTCTAAAGGTCGTGTGTATTAATCACCAAAATCTTTTAAAAAAAAGATATACCAAGACTTTTGATAAAAAAAACTTTTGAGCATTTCAAACTCGATGTCATTATCCACACCATCCGGTACATAATTGGTACACTGAACCAGCGATGTTTCAATTCAAATGGATGGAAGGGTAAGCTATGTGGAACTGAAAAGACATATTGAATTCGCAGCTTAAAGTGGGGGTTACAACGTGAAAGCAATAGAAGTTTATGGAAATCCTCAAAAGGAATACTAAGCGAGTGAATGATGGTTTCCGTGTTCATTTTGTTGTTCATTTTGTTCTTAAACCCGTGAAGAAGAATGACAATCAAGAGAAGTGGGGGTTATGATATTTTTCTTCGAACATTGATCTTCAAGTGGGGAATAGAAAATGAGCCTCCTGCTGCTGTGTTGCTGATCACTACCGATCAGCGTCTTCAGCCTACCATTAGTTTCATGGTAGAGCATGGGTTTGTGATTGATGTGGCTCATGGAGCCGATGAAGCCCTCATAGCCAGTGCTACATCTTCTATTCATTTCAGAAGACTTCAACAAGGACATTGGTTCCCTGGCCTATGGATGCTTTCATTTAATCTGAATATCATATTCACAACCTAGATAATGTAGTAAAATAAACGTCTTGATAAACAAAAAAAGTTCATGAAACGCTTTCTTGGTGTTATATACTTTTCTAGGTGTCTTAACATGAATACGTATAAGATTTTAGCAGCAAGGCCATGCCTAAAAAGTTCTCACCAATTAATGATACATGTGGCAACCAGAATAGTTCGGACAAAGATAAACACTGAGCTACCAAATGCTAGCGCAATAAACACAATGAGAAAGAGATGGGAAAAAATTGGGTTGTAAGCTTTTTGAGAGAAGAATATTACCTTGTTTTTGATAGATCTAGCTTAACAGCTGATTATGAAAAACAAATTACTTGGACATATCTGATGAACTTTTGATGTTTACGCTAATATCTGATGAACTGATTAATTGGATGATATTTAATGTTTTACCCGTTTTTCTCTTTGCGATTATGATTTTTGTTGATTTAATAAATGCAGCAAAACAGCTTTGCAAATGGCGAATAAAGAAGTTGTTCTATACATGCGATATTTCATGCCTTGTGGGAGACGGCTCTGAGCCAAATATGCTCTGTTTGACTTCATGTTTATCATAATATTTAACAACATTTACCCATAAACATAACTAGTGTCGGTAGGGGACAACAAAATATGGATCTAAGGATCTGGCACCATATAATATATGAAAATTAATTTAAAAATGAATTAAGCCTTATCAGGCTTAGCTGTCTCTAAAGTTCGTGTGAATCAATCACCTAGATCCTTAAAAAAAGTTAATCATACGAAGACTTTTGATAAAACACCTTTGGAAAACCCCCAAACAAGAACAAGAACCCAGGTTCTATAATTATTGCAGATCAGAGAAGAGTTTGGGAAATCAAATCACAAAATGGAGAAAGTAGAGTTACCAGTTCACAACCATCCTTTGGTAAGTTTCACTCGTTTCTCTCTTGGTCAATGTAAAGGCTGTTGGTCTCGTGGTTACATTTACGGAGGATATCGTTGCAATGAGCCTGGATGTGATACTATGTTTCACAAAACGTGTGCTGAATCTTTACCAGAAATCAAACACTATTCTCATCCCGACCATACTCTGAAGCTCGTCCGAAAGTTCCAATCATCCATGTGTAGTTTGTGTCGGGTCTGGTTTGAAACAGGTTACTTCTGTTCCATCTGCGATTTCAAGTTGGATTTGGGTTGTGATAGGAGACCAGACCCACCTCTTACTCTCGAAAAGTCAAACACGCATGAGCATCCTCTTGTGCTCTCTAACGGAGTGGGATTTGAGTTGTCTCAAAGTGAAAGAAACTGCAAAGTGTGCTTCGAGGAAGTTCTTGAATTCGAGACATGCTATGAATGTCACGAGTGCGAATTGTTCTTCCATGTGAAATTCACCGAGGGCTCTCACACTTCTCACCCGGAGCACCCACTCAAGTTTCTAACTGGTAAAGAAGCACCCGATTATGCTGACAAGAACTGTCTTCTTTGCGGGATGGAGTTTATTCGAGAGCTTCACCACTGTGATGTTTGTAACTTCAGCATATGTAAAGAGTGTATGAGAAACCCACCACCACTAGATGTTGTTAGCCAGACGACTCATAAACATCAACTTCACCTCCTTCCAAGACGCATCGCTTTTGTTTGCAATGCATGTGGAACGCAAGGTAACCAAAGCCCTTATTTCTGCTTTCAGTGCAATTTCATGATTCATCGAGATTGTATCGATCTACCACGCGTCATAAACATCAACCGTCATGACCATCGTATCTCTTACACTTGTCGTCTCGGACATGGGAACTGGACTTGTGGAGTTTGTCGCGAGAAAGTGGATGGGTTCTTTGGGGCTTATTCTTGCTCAAAATGTTCTAGTTATGTTGTTCATTCAAGATGTGCAACGAGAAAGGATGTATGGGACACGATAGAGCTAGAAGGAACAGCAGAAGAAGAGGAAATAGCTCCATTCGAGGTGGTTGATGATTCAACGATAAAACATTTTAGCCATGATCATTATCTACGACTCAACAAGGATGGTGTGATTCTTCATGAAAACAAGCTTTGTGAAGCGTGTGTTTCTCAAATATGTGCAGAGTCTTTCTACAGCTGTGAGCAATGTGATTTCATTCTCCACGAAAGATGTGCTAATCTCTCCCGAAAGAAACGGCATGTGTGCCACAACCAACCTTTCATGCTACACACAAGTCCTGGAGCCCAAAAAAGTTGCTGTGCTCTTTGTGATCAAAAGTTCAATGGCTTCATGTACAAGTCTGCTAATCACAAGGTTCTAGATGTGCGATGTGGTTCGATTTCAGAGCCGTTTGAGCACAAAAGCCATCCACATCCTTTATACTACTCTGGAGAAACCTTCAAGTATTGTAGTGCACATGGCGGAGGGCTGAACAGAGGAATGTTCACTTGTGATGATTGTGATTATAGCTTGGACTTCAAGTGCGCTCTTTTACCGAAAATGGTAATGAATCACAGGTATGACGACCATCCTCTCTTCTTGTCTTATGGTGAAAGCAATGTGGATGGTGAATATTGGTGTGAGGCATGCGAAACTAAAGTGAATCCCAAGAAATGGTTCTATACATGCGATGAATGTGGAGTCGTGTTGCATATTTCATGCGTCGTGGGAGACTTCTCGTACATCATGCCTGCTCGAGAAGGTTCAATAACATGGTCGAATAAACAAGTTGTTCCCAACACTTCTATTTGTAGAATACTTTGCTCTACATGCAAGTCTCGATGCAATCTCTCTTCTGTTCTTAAAGTTTCCAAGGCCGGTGTTGATTCATACTTTTGTTCTAGCTCATGTGACACGAGTTATTTACTAATATAGGTCTCGATGATGAACACTTGTTGTATCATTTGTTCTAATGAATGTTATATACGTTGTATAGATTGAAATCATTTCCCACCCAAACAGCATGTAAACGGAGCAACCATTTTCCACTTTGCACCGATCACAATCACATTTGAAACCGTAATCCTCAAGCAATCTCTTTTGTCTGCTCAAATAGCTCATGTCCAGAGGGAAATAGCTCAAAACAGAATTCTCTTCCCTCAGGAACATCGTGGATCATCCTAATGATGATATCATGCGGGTCTTTCTCGATTCCCCACCTTAAGATCAATCTCCGAAGAAACACATCACAGTTGTCTCTCTCTTGATTGTCCTTCTTCATGGGTTTAGGAACAAAATGAACACGGAAACCAACATTCATAGCTTAGTATTCCTCTTCGAATCCAACCCGTCCCCTCCTTTTGAGAACTTCCATAAACTTCTATCGCTTCCACGTTGTAACCCCCACTTTCAGCTGCGAATTCAATAGCTTACCCTTCCATCCATTTGGCATGAGTTAAAATCCCAGATCATACGAAGGCTGCTTCCCTTCCGTTGATCACCGAAAACCCTCAATGGTGGAATTGCTATAAGACCATTCACAGGAAGTCCACCACGGATTGCCAACTTCGGTATATACTCATTTTCATCTGATCAAAAGACAGATTGGTTAGTAAAGAAGCCAAAGATGTAAAGAAAAAAATAAACTAAAGAGCAAAACTTACAGTCTCCTTTTATCAATTTCTCCCAATAGTGGAGTGGACCGTCGCAATTTCTTTGAACTTATTTTGAAGTTGGGAACAATTGCTGCCATTAACAAAGCTTGACCTACAGAAATAACTCATTTGTGTGAAAACTGGGCAAAGTCAATAGGAAGAAATGAACCTGAATCTTTTGAGAGCTCCTTTCATAAAAACTCTATTAAAGATTTGAGGACGGGTTGCCGACAGAACTTGATGATACATTATATTTATTGAAAATGATATTATGTATTACTTTTATTTTATGTATTTTATATCTAGTTAGGATTAGAGTTTTCAAGGTTATGTATTTTATATTTAGTTAGGATTAGAGTTTTCAAGGTTTTTAGGCTTTCTTATAAATTATCCGTTTTGACTCATATTGTATTCATATGATTTGAGTAATAAAATTGAGTTTTAAGCTTTTTGAGAGAAGAGTACTACCTTGTTTTTGGTAGATCTTAACAGCTGATTTCGAAAAACAAATTACTTGGACATACCTGATGAACTATTGATGTTTACGATAATATCTGATGAACTGATTAATTGGATGATATTTAATGTTTTACCCGTTTTCCTCTTTGCGATTATGATTTTTGTTGATTTAATAAATGCAGCAAAACAGCTTTGCAAATGGCGAATAAAGAAGTTGTTCTATATATGCGAATGCGATATTTCATGCCTTGTGGGAGACTTCAATAACAAGGTCGAATAAAGAAGTTGTGCTCAACACTTCTATTTGTAGAGTACTTTGCTCTACGTGCAACTCCAAGGCCGGTGTAGCTCATGTGACACCTCTTATTTACTTATATCTGTTAATAAAAGAATTCTCCAAAACAGAGTAGGAAAAGAAACAAATGCGAACATTACGAATCATATGTGGTCCTAATTAAACAAGTCTCTTGTTATTTGAGTAAGCCTGAATCAACAACAGAAACTAGCTTGAGATTAGTCTCATCAATTTCCGACAACTTCATCTTCTTTAAGGCTTCTACAAATATTACAGTCAATTCCACTTTGCGCCGATCAGTCACATTTGTTACCGTAATCCTCAAGCAATCTCTTTCGTCTGCTCAAGTAGGTCATGTTCAGAGGGAGATAGCTCAAGCAGACTTCTCTTCCTTGAGGAACATCGTATATCGTCCTAATGATGATATCATTATTACCGTCGGAAGCAGAGTCGATGTAATCGAATCTACTCAAAGCATTAGGAAGACAATCGTGATTGAAAATCGACGTCTTGTGATAAATCCCATATGCTCGTAGTCGTATCGGTTTTTTCTCGTTTGAAGCAGAGAACGGCTCCATCAAACCGAAGGCGTTAGCTTTACCCTTAGCCAGTAGAGCTGCCGTGAGCTCCGGCGAGAATGGAACCGGAAAAGGTGGACACACGGCGGATAAAAGAGAGTGAAGGAAGTTAGCTGCGTCTGAATCCGTATGATTTACGTTACCTTGGAGCGAAAGCAATGTCTGGAAATCAGAAGGAGAAGAAGCGGCGAGATTGTAAGCAGAGAGGAGAAAACGAGCTTGGACTTGGCGTTGACAAGGTTGATCGGAGAAAGCGGATGAGGATGATTGGTGAATCCAGGAAAGAGATTCGCAGAGCCAAGGAGTGTGAGAGGCGAGGCAATTAGGTCTGCAAAAGGAGACGAGAGAGCAAGACTGACATTTATGCGCCGATTGAGGTAACAGTCGGAAACAATGCTCGCAGTACGGAGAAGGAGCAGAGGAAGAGAGAAAAGGGAAAGCAGAGTAAAGGAGTAGAGGAGTCTCTCTAAGGATAACTTGTCCTGCACGTAAAGACTCTGCCGCCACTAAACTCCTTCCTTTTCCACCAATTTTCTCAACTCTTAGCAGCTTCTCTGACTTATCTTCGCCGTCACTCATCGCCATCACCGTAGCCTTCGAAGATTCGTGTGACCTTGAGAGTTTGTCAAGGGAAGTTGGAAGAAGGAACGATTTATAAAACAAATTCCTTTTTGGATTCTTATAAAAGTGTCAATACCACACCACGCATGCATGTTTCAATTGATTCTTAGAGAATGTATAAGAGAAAGAAAGACCCAAAAATGGAATAATTCCAAAAGCAAGAACAATCCCTAAACGCAAACAACAAACAACATTGGCATAGAGCCTAGATATATTGTCCAGAAACACATCTCTCTTCTTTGCCTTCATCTTAAGACTTCTTGTTCATCACTGGTTTGCAACAACTTCATCCTCCTTAAGGCTTCCACAAACATTACATTCAAGAACCTTCGAAGCACAATCATGAGTCTTCGGCGGAATCGGAGCAAGAGTGCCAAAACAATTCTCCTTCTCACACATATATCTCACAAAGAAGTAAGCGTGAGGGAAACTCGCATCATCATCATCATCCACACCATTTCCACAAGCTTCTCCAACTTCTACTTCCTCATTCTCACCTTCTGAATCCTCCATCTCTTCATCACCCATCTCCTCCATGACATCATTCTCATCTTCCTCGCCTTCCGACCAACTAGATTCCACTTTGCACCGATCACAGTCACATTTGAAACCATAATCCTCAGCCAATCTCTTCTGCCTGCTCGAGTAGTTCATGTTCACAGGGAAGTAGCTCAAACAGACTTCTCTTCCTTGAGGAACATCGTGAATCATCCTAATCACGATATCGGTATTGCCATCGGACGCAGAGTCGACGTAATCGAATCTACAAGCATTAGGAAGACAATCGTGATTGAAAAACGACGTCTTTGGGTAAATCCCATAAGCTCTCACCGATCTCTTCTCGTTGGAAACAGAGAACGGTTCCATCAAACCAAAGCCGTTAACTTTATCTTTAACCAGTAGAGCAGCTGTGAGCTCCGGCGAGATTGGAACCGGAAGAGGTGGACACACGGCGGATAAGAGGGAGTGAAGGAATTTAGCTGCGGCGGAATCAGAAGCAGAATCTCCATCGCCTCCGTTACCTTGGAGCGAGAGCAAAATCTGGAAATCAGAAGGAGACGCGGCGGCGAGATTGTAAGCGGAGAGGAGGAAACGGGCTTGGACTTGGCGTTCGGAAGGTTGATCGGCGAATGCGGCGGAGTACGATTGGTGAATCCGGCGAAGAGATTCGCAGAGCCAAGGGGTGTGAGAGGCGAAGCAATTAGAGCTGCAATGGGAGACGAGGGAGCAGGATTGACATTTCTGCGCCGATTGAGATAGTAACCGGAAGCAATGGTCGCAGTAAGGTGAAGCAGAGGAGAGAAATGGGAAAGCAGAGTAGAGGAGGAGAGGAGACTCTCTGAGAACAACTTCTCCGGCACGAAGAGACTGTGCGGCGACTAGACTCCTTCCTCTTCCGCCGATTTCGGCAACTCGCAGCAGCGCCTCCGTCTTAGCTCCGCCGTCACTCATTTTACCAGCCGTCGCCGTCGCTTAGGGCTTTTCCAAAATTAAACGATTTATATGAAAGAAAAACTGAAGGGGGTAAACGGTGACGTTTCTGGATTGGGTTACAAGGGAGACGTTAGTACGTTACTAATGGGCCTTATACAGTCTTATCGAGTTTGTGTTTATGATGAAAAAGAGAATTAGGAAGTGTAATTAGGTGTTGATTAGCAACCGGAAATTTTGTTTTTCTTGAACAGTTTAGGTCTACCAAACTTTTTTTCTATAAAATAATCAGATTCACTTGTTGTAGAGTTTAATATTCAGTTTTCTTTAGTATAATAGTATGATATCACACATTTATAACAGATAAACCATGGGAGGAAAAAAAAGGTTTGTTGAAACGAAATGGTAAAATAATTGGAGTAGGTGGTTTTTAATGACTAAAGTCTAGTGACCACTAGACTTGAAGACAAAAAAAATTGAAATGGTAAAGCTGTTAAATTGAAAATGAAAAGGAAAATTTATTAATCGATCAATTCTGTTGTCCCAAACTTGGCAAAATGACATCAAAATATCAAAATCGTGATTATTATACAAAATTGTGTTTCTTTGTGTGAAAAGAGACTATTACAGTGTATGTTCATAATACATATGTCCAATAATAATGTTACCGATCTGAAGTTGAATGTAGTAAATGAAAAAAAAAAAAAAAAAAAAAAGTAGACGTGAAGAAAAGAAAAAAGAGACGTAACGAAAACGGCGCCGTTTAAAAGTTCGGCGCAAATGAAAGAAAGGCTCATCATCGGCGTCGGTGGAGAGAGAGTGATTAACCGCTGGGGCCATTAACGCAACGCGGCTTTCTTATAACTCACATACATCGAGACAGAGAGAGAGAGTGGTCCACCACAACGTCGAAGAAGACAAGGAAGAGCAAAAAGAGCCGTTGTAGCTTACAATCTTAAGGCAGTAGCTAGAAGAAACCAAAACAGTCTTCTTCTCTTTCATTTTCATTTTCAATATAAGAGAGAGAGAGAGCGAAAGACGCAGTTTTTGGGGGTTTCAGGGGTCATGGCGGGGTTAAACGACGACGTCTTACTCGACATTGAAGAGATCTGCAATGGTGGGAAGGTTTGTTTTTACACATTTGAGCTACGAGAATTTACTTTCTTTATTTGTTTTTCTCAATCCATTTCTCTCTCTAATCTTCTTTCCCCTTTTAGCTCTGGTTCTCTACTTTTATGGCAATTTAGATTCGTCACATTTCGGTTTTTGCTCTCTTGTGGGGTTTATAGTTTTCCTAATTAGCTTCCAATCTCATTGAGGATTTTCTGGGTAATTGAAGATCATATCTTCAGTATTCATAGCTTTGATTGTGGTTGACATCAATCTATTAGCTGTTTGTCATAACTTTGTGGATTTAGTATTTATGCTTAATTGAAATTAAAATGCGTTTTCACTTAAAAAGTTGTTTCTCTTTTGTCTTATGATTATCCTTTGAAATTCATCAGAAAGTCTATCAATTTGGGTGTTTGTTTTATTCGATTCCCTTGAAAAATGGTATCTTTCTTTTAGCTCCATGATTGATGTATGATGTCTGACTTTTTATAACTATTCTTGTACTGATTTTCTGAGTCTTTGCACATGGGAGAATCTGTTAGAGGGCCTCTTTTTTTTTTTTATGTGGTCTGGAACAAAGTTAGAATGTCCCTTTCTTAGCTGTATCTGATTAAAAGGAACAAAATTGTAAAGATTTCTCTAAAATGCTGAGCTGATTTTGGTTGAGACGACTAATGGTAGGCATTGTTAATTGTTCTCTTAATGTGGATAGGCTGATTCATTTTTTCTTGCTTGTTTTTTTCTGATGTTTTGCAGGAGCATCATGTAAAAACTTGCTATGGTTCAGTTTCAGTTGTGGTCTATGGAGATCAAGAGAAACCAGCATTGATCACTTACCCTGATGTAGCACTAAATTGTAAGAGTAGGGGTTTAAGGATTGGTATTGATCATTCACTTCCACATCACTTGATGATAAAATCTGATTTTAGACTCTTGTGCTCTTATCTTATGTGTGGCTAGATTTGTCGTGTTTCCAAGGATTGTTTCTCTGCCCTGAAGCAGTGTCCTTACTCCTTCATAACTTCTGCATCTACCATATTAGTCCTCCAGGACATGAGGTTTGCAAAATTTGATTGTCTTGAAAACATTTCCATTCTTTTTGTGTTTACTTATGCTGCTTGCTCACGTTGTTTCGGTTTCATCGTTTCTACAAAGAGTTTTTGTAGTTTGGAGCTGCTCCAGTTTGTTCCAGTGATCCGTCACCTTCTGTTGAAGACCTAGCAGACCAGATTCTTGAAGTATTGAACTTCTTTAGGTAATGCTTGAGAGTCATTTTCAGCAAAATCTTAGTCTAACTTTGGCAATTGCACTATAGTCCTGAAGATATATGTATATATGTTGCAGCCTCGAGGCAGTAATGTGCATGGGGATCACAGCTGGTGCCTACATCCTCTCCTTATTTGCTGTATGTGTACTCACTGAGGCTCCTTGAGAATTTCTTTGTAGCTACATTTTGTAGAACATCATACAATTTCTCGTTACTTAATCATCAGGGATTGTTTTATGGTTGCAGATTAAACATAAAGAAAGAGTTTTGGGTCTGATTCTTATATCGCCTCTCTGCAAAGCACCCTCATGGTCTGAATGGTTTTACTACAAGGTTAGTTTTATATGACTCTACAAAAGTGTAAGTCACAACATTTCATTCGCATCCACACTGAATAACACTAATTCTGCAGGTGGTGTCAAACTTGTTGTACTACTATGGAATGTCTGGATTGTTAAAAGATCGTTTCCTTCAGAGATACTTCAGTAAGGTAATCTTCTTTCTTTTGATTCCTTGAGGATATTTGCATATTCTGAATAGACATCGGTTTGATATTGTTGTGTAATCATGACAGGAAGCTCGTGGTAGCTCTGAAGTTCCAGAGAGAGATGTAGTACATGAATGCAGAAGGGTAAGTGATTAAGCTTTTTAGATGATTACTTGTTATTTCGCCACCTTAGCTTTGTTGTAACACTCGTGTATGTTGATTCAGCTGCTCGGTGAAAGACATGGTATTAGTCTGAGGCGGTTTCTGGAAGCAATCAACAGGAGACATGACATAACTGATGGTTTGAGGAGTTTGAAATGTCGTACACTCATATTTGTTGGCGACCAATCTCCTTTCCACTCGGAGACTCTTCACATGGTGGCTGCATTGGACAGAAAATACAGCGCCTTGGTTGAGGTAAGAAGAAGCTCTTTAGATTCTCTTCGAGTTTTACAAGATTTAAGCTTTTGGATGATTCTTGGATTGACATGATTTGATGTTTTTTCTTGTTTGAAATTAATGAAGGTGCAAGCTTGTGGATCAATGGTGACAGAAGAGCAGCCACATGCTATGTTGATACCAATGGAGTTCTTCTTCATGGGGTTTGGGTTGTATCGGCCTGGCCGGGTTAGCGATAGTCCCCGGAGTCCACTCAGTCCGTCGTGTATTTCGCCGGAGCTTCTTTCTCCGGAGAGTCTTGGTTTGAAGCTAAAGCCAATCAAAACTCGGGTTCCCACGAAATGTTAAACAAAACATTGATTCATTTTTTTCTTTCTTTCATGATTTTGTCTATTAGATCAAATATTCTTTAATTAAATTGTATTTGTTGTACTCTGTAGTCGATTATTTCAAAAACTCTTTATTCAAGAGATATAGTAGTGCTATATGGGTTGGTGTCATTACAATACGTTGAAGATTTGTTTCTAATTGTTGTTTAAGAAGAAAGAAAACAAACTAAGAAATAAACTCTTCCTACCTTTTTACCCAAAAAAGAAATCCCAAAACATTAAAAGAAAAAAAATGAAGCGAAAAGTTACAAGCCACTCTGTAGTTATCTTCGTGTAGAGATTTTATACAGTTTCCTTTCTTCTAGTCTCTCGAATCATCTATACATCCGGAACACAACCGACGGTTCCCATTCATTGCCTTTGCCTCCTAGCTTGAGATCAAATGTGACTTGATGTTGTTGTTGTTGTTGTTGTGTGTTATAGTTAAACATCATCAAGAGTCGTGAAGAGAACCTTGGATCATTAGAGATATACGCTTTGCGCTCTCTGAATGATACAATTCTCCTTTGAATCCAATCTGTAGAGATCAAGGAAAACAAAAAGAAAGTCGAAAGTTCAAAACCAAAGTTATGGATAGCAAGAGAGAGAGAGACAGAGAGAAGACACAAAGATGATTTGGATTTACATCGGTTGAGCTGTCGGGAGAGAACCACCGCAAAAGCACTCCTAAATGTACAACGGCCGGTATCAACTTGAATAGCAATGGTGTTGTTACCTGTGACATATTTTACTTGAACAGTTACTAAACCATATTCAATTTTCTTTTTAAGTATCGTAAATTCTACTGCTATTAATATGATGTGGTACTGGACCATACCAAGCTTAAAGCAGTTGTTCCCAGAAGCAGGAGATACAGTTTGCTCTGCAAATAAACACAAACCCCCTTCATTGTTATAGCTCCACAAAAAGCAAGCTATTATGGTATGGTACCATAGAGTCTGGAAGATATATGCTTAAGTTGGATCTAAATATTCAAAGAGGCATTTGACTGCTTACCTCAATTAGGTGAAGATTAGATGCTCGACTTAGCAGAACAAAAGCAAATTCCCCAATCTGTGCAAGTGACATTCCAACCTACAGACAAGAAAACTGTAAGGCCCCTCTCTCTCTACGAGAAGACTTGGAGTAATGCAAAAGCGGGGAAAAAGAAAGGGTTTCACTTCTTACTAGTACTGCAGTTTTGTTATTGTATCCAAAGATTTTGACGACGATTGCAACTACCACGGTCTTTATCACTATCACCAGTAACACAGCTGCTAGCAGAATGTCGACATGGTTCCACAAGAAGTGCATATGTATCAACATGCCGATACTTGCAAGGAACAGTGCTGCAAAAAAATTGCGGATGGGTTCCACCTGAAAAGAAACAGAAGCGATCAAAACGGGTCTATAAGGTAAACTTTGTACAGTGGGCCAAGGGAATCACATTTCAACAGGAAGTCAATGATACTATATAATTAAGAAATACACTTTCAAGGAAAATGGGCAGACAAACTCTAGTTCGAAAGAGACACACTTGACTTGTTACCTGTTCAAGAGTATGCTGACCGAGATCAGTTGTTGAGATCATAACTCCTGCCGCAAAGGAACCCAACTCAAGACTTAGACCGAGCTTGTCACTACACTGAAGAAGCCAAAACGATACTGGGTGTGTGAATTGAATATTTGAGATTCACACATGTACAAACAGCCAATAAGTAAGAAGACATAGGGAACAGACTAACCCAAGCGACAAGCAAACAAAATGCTACAGCGGCCAACTGGTAGAGCTCGTTAGTCTGTCAAAGATTGAGAAACGCTTAAGTTGATAAATAATTTAAAGACCAAAACGAAAACAGGTACACAAAATGTATGTATACCTGTGAAGAAAGGCTTGTCATAAGTTTTAGAAACCAAGGTACCCAGGTACGTGACAACACAAACAAAGCAGCCAAAAACGCAATCAAAATAGCCAACCTGGAAATAATTTACAACAGTCAAAAGCTTGGATTCATAAGACCACAACATAACAAGTGAATAAAGGAAGCAGGGTATTTCTTTAATAAAACTTCCTGGAAAAGAAAACACATACGATTTAGCCATGGACAACACTCCTTGAAGAAGACCAGATGTGCCACCGAGAACCGGAAGGAGAGCAAAAAGCAACCCGACAGCACAATCCTAGTGATTCATGAAACAATAAAAAATTTAAAAAAACAAAGGAAAGCAAATGTTGCATACAGCACTGATGCAATGCAGTTGCATACAAAAGAGCAAGTGGAAACAAGAGCCTGTAAAACTGATATTGGATATGCTATTGTTTGGAGAGTGACGAAGTAGATACCTGAAGGATAAGAGTTCCAACGGTTATCTGGCCATGTAGAGCACTTATGCTATTTTTCTCCATTAAAAATTTCAAAACCTGGTACAAGAATTATGGCGAGGTAATGAGAACATATGAGGATCAAGCCTAAAGAGCAATTTAGGAAAACATAACCAGTATAATAAAGAAAAGATAAAATACAGTGAGAGAGAGCACAACGAAGATTTTAACAGTGTAGAACAATGTCAAAACATAATACATGCAAAAAACTTCAATACACAAGTGAAATTAGAATATACCACCGCTGTTGATGACATCGAAAGAAATGCACCTACGAATATTCCTTCGGTTAGTTTACCGCCACATAACTGCAATGAAGAAACATCCACGTCAACCAAATACTTTCTACTTATGTTCATAATATATACACAAAATGCCTAATAACACATTCTTTACTTGAAATGCTACTACTAACTAGAAGTTAGAACATACCGAGGCTGTTATCCCACTCAAGCACATGAACAAAAATATTTGAAGAAGACCTCCTGGAATAGCTACAGCACGAACTACACGAAGCTGCAACCACAACGTACAATAACTGACTCAAAAGTTTCAATCGGCTGGAACCAGGAAACTGGACAAATATAAAGAGGGTGGAAACATGCTAACCTTTGCTGCCGAAAATTCTAATCCTAAAGCAAAAAGGAGAAAGATAACACCAAACTGAGCTACTGTTTCAACCTGTGCTACACAAAAAAATATATAAATCAAGTCCTTGTCCACCATTTATATAACCAGGCCATCACTTAGTCGTGAAAACTTCTACAGGAACATCATATGGAAACAAAAAGTAGGAGATTTAAAGAACAAAAGCTGATGTAAGCTACCTGCACCATTTCACTAACAAAGCTTAACCCACCCGGCCCAATGATAGACCCAGCCAGTAGATACCCAGTAATGACCTGCCATATAGGTAGTGTATAAATTAAATAACACTATCACAGTTCGATCTTCAAGTTCCAACAACTTCGTTTCTATACTTTCATAAGCTAAATTCTCAAATGCTAAAGGAATAAAACTGAAAGTCACAAGCAAGCGAATCCTAACCGGTTGACCAGCACAAGCAAAGGCAATTCCACCACAAGTAGCAGAAACAATGACGACGACCAAATCTGATATCAGCCTACAAACGTTTTAAGAGAGATGTTCCCATTAACAAAAAAGCGTAACGTAAATTCTTACAGAATATAACCGAACAAAAAACTTCCATTACGAATACTATACTGACCTTAAATCTAGCTGCAGTACAGGGTACTTGGATTTTGGATTGGACATGATAAAAATGTTGTCCTGGATTGAAATTGCAGCAAATTACATAACCGGAATGTTTTTACAAAAGGATGCATAATTGATGTATATTCTTCAGAAATATACAGTACAAGTGATGTAAGACTACGTAAGCTTACCTTCCTATCTATCAGTCTTGGAGTATCTTCAACGCCATTCTCGTTATCCAAATTAAAGAATGATCTAGAAACATAAGGCACTGATTATGTTATAGTTTGCTTTAGCATGTTAAACAAAAGTAGATAACACTAACAGCCACTACTTGCACACATCGACTCTAAACAGAAGTAGGCGTTAGGAAGACTCACTTCTCCTCCTTGGTCTTGGTCTCATTTTTCTTGGGCTTAACTCGAGCAACAGTCTCCAGAACAGCCTGATGAGCATACGAAATAGCTTAATAGAAAGAAAGAAACTAAACAACACAAGATTCAGCAGTGTGCTGTGTAAAAGCAATATGGGCACAGTTGAAGAGGCGAAAACTCCAAATACTAACCTGCTGATCAGCAACACTGTTATTGAAGCTTCCTGGATCAGGAACTGCAAAAACAAAGGAAAAGCATTTCACAAACAGCAGATTCATAGAGTTCAATGACTTTATCATTTCAACACTCACATTAATTGCTAGAAAGCATGAGAAATCTACAAACCTTCCAATAGATAATACTGTATGTGAGCAAAGAGAGAGTCTATACCACTTAGCTAATTAATGATAAATCCCTAGAGAGGATCAATTACTCACAAAATGCAATTGAAAATCTGGGAGCTGATCTCTGAAGACAAAAACCCTAGCTCAATAGGGGCGTACAAAACAACAAAATGCGAAACTGATGAAAATGTAGAGCATTTGGAGATCTAGAAGACGAACCTTCGTTCTGGTCATTCTCCGGAAACTCCTTCTCAAGTGCCCGATCGATCATATCAGCGAAACTGTCTTCCTTAGGTTTCGCGCTCGTCGCATTGAACTCAGCTGCGGTTCCATTGATCTCCCGAGTGACAACTGAGTCAGTCCCGATATCGGACTCGGCGGAAAAAGCAAGAGACAAACTACAGATCAGAAGAAACGCGAGAAGCCTCATCGTTTTCGTAGAGACGAATTCGCCAGTATTGTAACGCCGCATCTCAGTAATGGTGGCGCGGCGGAGCGATAGAGAAAGAAGAGAAAGAGAGTGAGATCGATTTTTCCCTCGTGTGTGCTGCTGCTTCTTCTTCTTCTCTCTTTCCGGTGGTTGGAGAACGAGAAAGCAGAAAGATTGAGGGAAAACTAATTTTTATTTTGTTTTTAATCAGTGATTAATAATTTTGTTAATTCATTTTTCCTCTGTTTGCTTAAGGGCAAATCAAATGTTACTTAGCGTGATAAGTCCTTTGATTCTGGAAACAAAAGTGTGTGGGACGTTGTTAGTGGTAACCGAATCCTTATCATACACGCGCCTACGTTAGCGCGTGGTTCTTCTTTTCGTGGCTGCGAAGAGAAAAAGTCACTTTTTAAAATTTTTTAAGTAAAAAAAGGTGATATTTGCTGAATTTGCACATTAATAAAAAAAGATTACGTTTGGTCCTTTGAATAGTATACTTTTCTCAGGTTTGATTGAATTGTTTGGTCTTTTCTGGCTTGTTTTAGTTTGGAGTACTTTTCTTAGCTTACATAAACTGATAAACTCAAAGAAAGTCGTTCAAAAAAAAAAAAAACATAAACTAAAAGAACCTTTAGTTTTTATAATTAGTTTAGTGGCATTTGAAATGATTTTCTTAGTAGAAGACCATTTATGTTACTAAGTTTTGGGCCATTTAAGCTTAATGGGCCGTCATAACTGAAAATGTGTAGAGACTAAACAAATCAGTTGGTGATCCAAAATATTCGACGTTAAAAATAGAAGGATAACATTCTCTAATCAGCATTCCAAATTTAATAAATCAACTTACAAACATGAAACAAGAAGACATAATATAAACAGTTTTCTTTTATTGGAAAACCGAGAGCGCCCATAGAAGTGGCCAATTCTTTCGCTTAATTCCGCTTAGACCCACATGGATTTTTTTTGTTCCTAATGTTGGATCCAACAACCTAACTTATTTTACCTAATTACTAATGTAACTTGTAGTTCTCTCTAGTAATGATGACATAAACAATTAGATATTGAGTCTTTAACCATTACAAGAACAACCAGTCTGAATAAGGACACAATACAAGACAGGCTAGGTCCAGTGAATATGATGACTTATGAGTGAGGATAATGAAAAACACTTTCCTTGTAATGAAGAAAGAAAACTCAAAAACTTTTGAATCACATGGTTGTATGTATGGACTGAACTTGGACTCTTCTTTAATCCTATTGTTCATTTTACATTTCCAAGGCAGATTCTTATTCTTTTCTTTTTATTGTTCTTTAAGTGTAGTGACAGTTAATAACAAAAAGAAACTATTGTTTTTGCTTTCAAGTAGCCAAGTAGGCAAATATATGCCTCCTACCACACAAAACAGACAAAGATCTCACTCACTCTACGCCTATAAGTACTCCTTTTAGAATGCACAATTTTGTCAACCAATTCTGTGTTTGAGAACAAAAAGCAAAAGAGATGGTTTTGATCAACGAGAGAGAGATTGAGATTCCAGTTATTGATTTTGGTGATTTGGATGGAGAAAACAGAACCAAGACCATGTCACTTCTTGATCATGCATGTGATAAGTGGGGATTCTTCATGGTATGTCATATTATCTTTATGCACAAGTGACAAGTCAGTGTTCCAAATATATGTTCCTAGATTTATAGTTCTTGTATGAGCGGTGAATTTGCAGGTTGATAATCATGGAATTGATAAAGAGCTGATGGAGAAAGTGAAGAAGATGATTAACTCTCACTATGAGGATCATCTGAAAGAGAAGTTTTATCAGTCAGAGATGGTCAAGGCTTTGAGTGAAGGAAAAACCTCAGATGCAGATTGGGAAAGCAGTTTCTTCATTTGGCATAAGCCGACTTCAAACATCTCCGAGATCCCAAACATTTCAGAGGAACTCAGGTAAAGTAGTAACTAACAAGTGAATAGTTCCAAAAGGTTTCACCATTTTACATGTTTTTTTGTTTCTTATTGCTCTAAACTGATATATATTGCAGCAAGACAATGGATGAATATGTTTCTCAACTACACAAGTTTGCAGAGAGGCTCTCCAAGCTCATGTGTGAGAATCTTGGTCTTGATCAAGAAGAGATAATGAAGGCATTCTCTGGTTCAAAAGGTCCAGCTTTTGGGACCAAAGTGGCTAAATACCCTGAATGTCCTCGTCCTGAGCTCATGAGAGGGTTGAGAGAGCATACCGATGCTGGAGGAATCATATTGCTCCTGCAGGATGATCAAGTGCCTGGTCTTGAGTTCATGAAAGATGGCAAGTGGTTTCACATCCCACCGTCCAAGAACAATACCATTTTTGTCAATACCGGTGATCAAATCGAGATACTGAGTAATGGGAGGTACAAGAGTGTGGTGCACCGTGTAATGACGGTGAAGCAAGGAAGTAGATTGTCGATTGCTACATTTTACAATCCGTCCGGTGATGCCGTGATATCTCCAGCTCCAAAGCTATTGTATCCAAGTGGCTACCGGTTTCAAGATTATTTGAAGCTTTATTCAACCACTAAGTTTGGAGACAAAGGCTCTAGACTTGTGACCATGAAGAAAATGGAAAATGGGGATTTTCCTTGAGATGCATCTTTATTTCACATGGAAACTATCCTTTTTTTGTTAAACCTTTGTCTTCTTCTTCTTCTTCTTCTTCTTCTTCTTCTTCTTCTTCTTCTTCTTCTTCTTCTTCTTGTGTTTCATTCATAAAGAAAAATAACAGTCAGGATCCTGTTGATCAAGCTAAAATACTTTTTATAATGAAAAGATCAGTTCCTAATTTTCACCACTTCGTTCTAATTTAAAATATAACGTTGTACTCTTGTTCTCGTTTTGACTAGACTAGCTTTGTAATAGAGCTGTAATAGATCTTTGTAATAGAGCAAAATATACACCAATAACAGAGAAACAGAAAACTAGGCTTTTAGACCAGATTCAAATCAAATTTCGTGTGCCTTAACGTGTCCTAATATTTGAGGTCACCACCAAGTTTAAACACTAATCGGCTGAGTGTCAAAATGTCTGAGATTTCTTACTAACCACAAGTTGTCCTCTGTTTCAAGCTAAGCTTAATGACGTCAACTATGAAAAGAAGAAGAATGTGTGCTCTCCTGAGATTATCCATAGAAACCAATAACATTGGGCTTGATCCATGCTTTTGTCTACGAGCATGCTCATTGTTTTGAAACCAAGCAAGAGAAGAAGCAATCGATTTGTATATTTTGATGTTGTATATCTCAAAAACAAAAAGAAAGAAAGACAAACAATAAATAAACTTCACTATACAAACATTAAAATATATTTCTCACTTCTCACAAATCAAGTTGGTTAGGTAACACCTGTATAAAGCGTTGGAGGGTTTTGATTGTTGAACTAACTTAACTCAAAACCTTTGAATTGTCAAAATAATCTGAAAAAAAACATATGAAGTTGAACTAACAAAGGTCAGGCCAAACCACACAGAAACTCTTATATACACCTACCAAAACCCATAATTGTTTTTATACAATTAAATATTTGTAAGCCATATAGTATATTGCCTCTATATAAACTCAATAGCATCTCTTTAAATTTCTCATCAACACAAAACAGTAAACGGAAGAGGCAATCATAGAGTGGCTTAGCAATAATTATAGATTCATCAACCCTCTCCAAATGGCATCGCATAAGCTCTTTCTCATTGCTTTCTTAGTGAGTCTCTCTTCCTCTAGCAACACTTGCTCGGCCTCACGCCAACTTCTCCAGCAACAACCTCTTCCTCAAATTCCAAATCTGCCTATCCCAACAATGGGACTACCTCCATTGCCATCAACATTGCCACAACCATCTCTACCAACTCTTCCCACAATGCCCACTTCTATTCCTCCAATGCCATCAACATTGCCACAACCATCTCTACCAACTCTTCCCACAATGCCCACTTCTATTCCTCCCATGCCATCAACGTTGCCACAACCAGCTCTTCCCACCATTCCCACTTCAATCCCTCCATTTCCAATGCCAAATTTGCCTTCGTTTCCGACAACAATGCCTTCTCTTCCGACTAGCTTCCCATCCATTCCGTTCTTCTCTCCACCTCCTTCTACAGCTACATCGAGTCCTTAAATAATCACTTCATGCATGTGTTTAATGTATCTCTCATTTTATTGTTGTAATGAGTTGTTTCATTACGGTGTGTTTTGGTTTGGTTGATTACTCATACCCCTATATATGATTTGTACCTTTAGTTTCCTTTTTGATTATCAATTTGTTGTATTTTATATTTGTTGTATTACTATACTTGTGAAAGTGCTTATTTTGTTCTTTACTCATGGTAATATAAAAAAGTTTGTTATGTTGTATTAACGTTCATATTTTTGAACGGCTAATTTATAGTACTGGATAATAGCATTTTTTGGGTAAATTACAGGATAGTATCTATCTAACCATGAATAGTTTAGATATTTGAATAGTTTGTTGAACGATTTCTTATGGTTTATCTATATACACTACTACGAACTTGGTGAACAAACTTAGACATGATTTTTCTTTTTATTTTGTAAGAAAAACAAGAAGCATGTGTTGGTCGAGGCTAGTTACTTGAACGAGATTAGGAAATGATTCAACGTAAATAACTAAATACCCAAACTCGTCGGTGTCATGTGGCTAGTTCTCGTTGGTTGATACATTCGGTAACTTTCAGAAGTGGAAGAATATTTCTTCGACATATAAAAGCGCTTACGGCGTCAGTGAGACGCGCCCGAAACGCGAGTCGGTAACACAAAACGCGCTTCCAAAGCCCCACAAAAGGCATCTCTTGTCTCCACGTGTCCATCCATGTGACGTGATTCCACTCAACCAAAAGCCGGTCCGATCAGATTAACCAGTTCACTTTACTACATTACATGACATCGCAATAAAGTGGATAAATTAAAAAATGTCCTTTTTGACCAGTTCACTTCAAAATGCAAACATTTCATGAAATCAAATATAAAATTCCGCCGTTTAAATCACCACAAAACCGGGATTGGCTAAACAAGACCGGAACCGAACCGAACCGAAACCTCGTTTTCTGTAAATAGCATTAACAGGATTCACACTTACCATCATCTCTAACCACCGACCTCATAAGTAAGAGAAAACAGAGACAGTCCTCTCACTTTCATCATTTCATCTTCTTTCTAATTATCGGCAAAAGAAAGAAAGAAAAAACTCAGATCTTCCAGAGAATTAATGGCGTTAGCAAATAACTTAACGGCGATACTGAACTTACTAGCCTTACTCTGTTCGATACCGATAACGGCGTCAGGGATATGGCTTGCCTCAAAACCCGACAACGAGTGTGTCAATCTCCTCCGCTGGCCCGTCGTCGTCCTCGGCGTTCTCATCCTCGTCGTCTCCGCCTGCGGCTTCATCGGCGCCTACCAGTAAGTATATATACATACAGAAAACAGAGAAATCTCAAAACCTCAATTTCTGACTCTGAATCACTTTGTCTCAGGTACAAGGAGACTCTACTGGCTGTATACTTGTGCTGTATGGCGATACTGATCGGACTCTTGCTGGTGGTTCTGATATTCGCTTTCGTCGTGACCCGACCCGACGGGTCGTACCCGGTTCCGGGTCGAGGATACAAAGAGTACAGGCTCGAAGGGTTCTCGAATTGGCTGAGAGAGAACGTTGTGGATTCCAAGAATTGGGGAAAGATAAGAGCTTGTTTGTCTGATACTAACGTTTGTCCTAAACTCACTCAACAGTTCATCAACGCTGATCAGTTCTTCGCTTCTTCTTCCATCACTCCTCTCCAGGCATGTTCTTCTCTCCCTCTCTCTCTCTCTCTCTCTTCTTTTATTCTCTTTTTTATTCTGAACCCAAAACTTTTAATTCTTTACATTTGGCCCCCACATTTTTGTTTTTAATTTCCATACCGGTTTTTGTTTTATTGGGTGGTAACTTGTAAACTAAACATTAGTCATTTGTATAATTAGATCTCTGAGTGGGAAAGTCCACATCTTAAGTTAGTGCTTTGTACATGTTGCTTTTAAATGCTACCACTTGTTTTTCAGAAAATTAGTTTAAGGTAGCTTGGAAATAGTTGGAATACTGACATTTTTAGTTAAAATGTCAATTGAATATTTGTTTCGCAAGATGCCACAACGAACATCTTGTTATGTAAATAATTGATTTTACAACATGTTGTTCGATTAAGGTTAGATGATTAATGAAGATAATAAGATACGATGTTAAAGAGAATGTTTTGTCAATATCTAGATTATGTGAGACCTACGGGTTGTTCTTTACAAATTAAAAAAAAAAAAAAAAAAAAAAAATGAATGAAAGAAAGGTCCATGCATTATTCAAAAAGTAGAATATGGTGCTTATATCATCATAATTTATAAAATTTCACTTTAGATTTTGTGAAGTCCAAAAAGAGCATTGTTCTTATTCTCCATATTCCTTTTATTTATTTTTAGTAGCTTTTATTTATTTCGTTTAGGATTTCCTTGTCTTTTAGAAAACTAAAAAAGTCCTAATGTAAAATTAAGCAAATTAATCCTAGTAAAATGGTTTATGAACAATTCCATCATGTATCTTCTGGTGTCGGAGAGGAACACGCCATTAATTTTCTAATTGCAATTAGGTGGCAGTAGATTACTCAAATTTTGGACATATGTATTACGATGATTGAAACTCTATAGTGGAACTATTTTCTTCTATGTAGAAACTGCTGGAGACAACCAGTCCAAAATATTAATGTAGGATAATCAGAATTCGAAATAACACACTAGTTTAAGGACCCACGCATGCACCCACAATATGGTACATAATAATATACGTTTTTATCTGTTCACTTATTAAATTTTTGCTCTGTCATTGTCTCACTCACATAATTCAATTATGCCAATCACTTTAGATAGTCTTTTTCAGTTTGTCTCAACTTCAAACATGACAAAAAAAAAAAAAACAACTTTTCTTATCATAAAGCCACTCTTAAAATTCATTTCCACGTCTTTTATGCTTGAAACATGGAGAGATTAAGGGCATAGCTTACTAACTTTTGTTCAACACAATTATCCACCAAAGGAAGTGGTTAGTATATATAAATCTTTAATTTTGGTTCATTTGAATTAGATCCCGGTAGTATTCTACGTGAAGGTATAAGACTTGGACATATGGGTAATAAGATCTTCTACTTTTCTAAACTCTATATGAATCAAAATTTCTGGTTATTCTTCATCTATAATTTCATGTAAATATGTATTCTTTGATTGATTTAAAAGCTTTATTAAAATCAGTTTATTCATCCTAGCAAGATGGCATCCGAGTCCATTGTTACTTAATTTTGTCAGTGTAACAAGATTGAAAGTTTGAAACCGCTAATAATTGAATAAGCCTAGCTGCCTAGGTGATAAGGTTTTTGACTGAATTGTATGTCGATAGGTATTAGACATTATTAAATAATAAATATTGGAACACTGATTTGATTTGATTCAATAATCAGAATCAAAAGTCTTCATCCCCATTATGAAACATAATAGATAATGATATCTCTCCCATTTCTACCACTCACCTTTACATCTAATAAATTAGCATATTTATCACATCTAATTAACTATAACGTTCGTATTTTACAGTCCGGCTGCTGCAAACCACCAAACGCGTGTGGCTACAACTTCGTGAATCCGACGCTGTGGCTAAACCCAACCAACATGGCTGCAGACGCAGACTGTTACCTATGGAGCAACGACCAAAGCCAGCTTTGTTACAATTGCAACTCATGCAAAGCTGGTCTTTTGGGAAACCTAAGAAAAGATTGGCGTAAAGCAAATCTCATACTTATCATCACTGTCGTTATTCTCATTTGGGTCTACGTTATTGCATGTAGTGCGTTTAGGAATGCTCAGACGGAAGATCTCTTCCGCAAATACAAACAAGGTTGGGTCTAAAGTGTATGTGGATAGGGATTTGCTTGGAGTTGATGAGATTGTAGTATTCAAAAACAGCTTGTCATTATTAATGTGTTTGGAAAGGCTTCTAATTTCTATTTTCTAGTGTATGTGTATGGCTTCTAATATCTTTTAAAGGTTTGCTTGTGTTCTGTTTATAAGAGATTGTGTTGATGATAGTAAAATTGAACGTGATCTTGTGTACTATAAAAAACTGTATTTGGGCTGAACACATCGATATTTGTTAATGCCTTTGTAGAAGACTAACGTTCGTTAACTATGTTATTTCATGAGTTGCCACTTGGCAGGACGTAGCTGCATTACAATAGATATTTGACTACACATAGATGTGATAATTTTCGTAATTTAGCAATAACTTGAATATTATGTGGATTTCGAAACCGGGAGGCATCTATAAATATACTTGGTCAAATCAAACAAAACCAAAATGAATTGAAGAGCGGCCCAAATTCAAGAACTAAACTTCAGACAAATAAATCCGCGCGGTGGACTATCAACTACAAAAACGACATTTGCAAGCATAAAACCACAATTCCATCTTTCGTGTTTTATCAGAAACGGAAGTAAGCTTATATCGGTTTTGTTTCTTCTGAACCGAACAATTTGATATTGTACCGAACAAAGTCAAACCTACTTACTTGCTTGATACAAACTAAATCTATTACAAGTACCAAACAAAACCAAACCTTGTAAATCCGATCTTGTACCGAACAAAACCAAAAGCAAACCTAATGCATGTTTCTTCTAACGCTTTTATTTTAAATGTTTACAAGTTTGAGTATGGTGTGCACATTGGTGTTTAATTGATTCTTCTCACAACCTAATGCCAAAAAAAAGAAAAGAAGTAGAAAGCGTGACATATTTATTTTAGCGGTTCCATCAAAGAAAATGTTTTGACTGGGAAACACAGAGAGGTAAAAACATCATGAATTGAATTTAAAAATATCAAAATATGTTTTGAACGTTAAAAAAGGATTGTGTCTTTAGCTGCAACTTCTTCATTCTTCTGTTTTTGTCCTTTTATTTTTGGTTGGTTTACATTTTACTATTTCAGTCCCTCTGCTGTACTTGATAGTTATTTGTATTGTAGTCCTTACATTTCTAATATATTACGAAACATGTCGGTTTATATCTATCCAGAGTTGAGTTTCAATCCGTTCGCTAAGCTAAGAACCCTAAATTGGAGACACAGAGCAAGACGATGCTGAAATCCGTTTTCTCAAAGGTAATAACTAGTAAATAACCAATCAATTTTTGTTTTCTAATTTGAATTCCTACGGATTGATTTTGGTTTCTTTCCTTTAAATGCAGTACGCTCGTGCTATTACGGGGAGAAATTTCTCCAGCAGACGCAACGAGAGTCAAGGTAACAGAAACGAAAACCCTTTTTGTCCTCAATCAAAGATTATCTAAGATAAAAAGCACTTGATAACGTGAAAAATTAGACCTTAATCGACGATGAAATTTAGAAACTGGCTTTGGTTAGCTTCATTCTTTTCCCTTGATTAATCTAGAAACTGGGCTCTGATAAGCTTCATTCTTTTCCTCTGCTTTCTCCCCTGTAATCTAGAAACTCGATGACCTGAAAAAATGAAACCTTTAAGAAACTGCCTATGATTAGCTTCAATCTTTTCATCTGTAGAAACTGGCCTTGACTTTGCGTGAGAGATGCCCTTGTGCTTTCGTTTTACTTCCTTACACAACTCTGATATGATCATTCTAGTATATAGGAGACGCGTATTAAGATTTAAGCACTTGATGGCCTGAAAAATGACACCTTTATGTATCAAATCTAGAAAATGGGCTTGACTTGCGTGAGACATTAGTAATCACAATGTGCTAGTCTTTATGTTATATAGACTAGTAATCACAATGTGCTGCGTATTGATATTTTGTCACAGTGCGCTTCTGGCCCCTGATTAGCATAATTCATTTCCCTTGAAATCTACTAGGAAGTAGCTTAGTCTTGACATATTTTCTTGATTAAACCCAAACAGGTCTGCGTTTCTGCTCCTCCACCGCACATTCTCCCAGAAACAATTCGGGGATGTCTGCTTTCAGCGAGAACACTAAGCCAGTTCTCTCTTTGGGGCGGAAATTTTTGGATGTGGGAATGGAGACTGCATGTGTAGGGGCTGGAACTGCTTGTGGATATGTTCTTGGTATGTAGGGTGGAGATGATTTATGATTGTATAAATTCGAATTTCCTTGCCTAATCTTCTTTGTTTTTTTTTTTTTTTTGCTTGTTTGTTCCTCTTTCAGCTGCTGCTATAATGCCTGATCATGCAGCACCTCTCATAGAAGATGAAGAGGTAATTTGTAATGGAATGTAATGAGTTTTTTTTTTTTTTGTCTTTTTTTTTTGTGCGTGTTGCTTGTGGTTAATTCGTTAGTCTCTCTCATGTTTCCAGATAACTAGGTCTTTTATGAAAGAGACCCAAGAATTCATTATGGAGCACGGTGAGCCTGAGGATTTGAAAAAACTGGAGGAATTAAGGGGGTCTTTGGTTATTGGAAAGTTGTAAAAAACAAGATTTCTGTTTCAAGTATCTTTATATCTATAATCTATCAATGTTGTACTTGTAATGACAAACAAGTCTAGGTTTTCTGTGTTGACTATCTAACTTGTAATAATAAATGTGTGTGTTCGTTTTGACGATCATATATGTTCTTTGGATTATTATTGTTCATCTTCATATGTTCTCTGTTTCGACTGGATGTTGATCTCCTGTGGTTCATGACTTAAGTCGTCTCTTTTTTATCTTTACTCTACTTATTACACTTTGCCTTTGGAGTTTTATCCTTGCTTAGATTTGATCTTCCGATTGACAAGCTTCGATTCTTGAGTAATGCTACTAAAATATAAATATCTTTTTGGGCTATGTCTTGTTTACTAGTTTGATTTCCAAGTGTTTTGCATTTGCACCACACCCACACGTGGCTCTGCCCAAGTTGTGTCTTAACCTGAAAGGCTGAGACTTTACTTTCTTTATTTTTTTGGTCCTTTAATTTCTATTTATTTTGTAGTACGACGGAACCTGTCGGATTATATCTCGATTCGCTAAGCCAAGAACCCTAAATCAGAGCAAGATGATGCTGAAATCGGTTTTTTCCAAGGTAAATAACAAATAACGCTCTCAAATTTTGCTTCACACCCATTTTGATTCCTTTCCTTTGAATTGCAGTACGCTCGTGCTCGTGCTCGTGCTGTTGCCGGTGCTCGTACCGAGAGAAATTTCTCCAGCAGACGCAGCGAGAGTCAAGGTAACAGAAACGAGAACCCCTTTTCTCTCAATTGATGATGAAATCTAGGAACTGGCCTCTGATTAGCTTGATACTTTTCATCTGCTTTCTCCCTTGAAATCTAGAAACTTGATTACCTGAAAAACTAGATCTTTATCGATGATGAAATCTTAGAAACTGTGCTCTCTGATAAGCTTCCTTCTTTCCTCTTGAAATCTAGCAACTTGATGACCTGAAAAATGAAATCTTTTTATTGATGATGGAAATCTAGAAACTGGGCTCTGATCAGCTTCATTCTTTTCCTCTGCTTGAAATCTAGCATAATACAGTTCGTCTGCTTTCTCCCTTAAAATCTAGAAACTTGATGACCTGAAAAACTAGACCTTTATCGATGATCAAATTCAAATATAAGATTCTGGCTTTGGTTAGCTTCTTTCGTTTCCTCCATTTAAATCTAGGAGCTTGCTTAGTCTTGACCTCCAGATTTATAGAGGCTTCATTAACTCTCGACATTAAACCCAAACAGGTCGGCGTTTCTCCTCCTCCATCTCACATTCTCCTCAAGACATTTCTTTGGGGAAGCCTACTCTTTTTGCAGTGACCGTCTTCGGTGGTACATTCGTCTACATGATAACAGGTATGAGAATTTCTATTCGAGTTTTTTGTTTCCCTTCATCAAATTCAACACTATTTATTCATTCATTCATCCCCAGATATTGTCATGTACAACGTACACAACAGAAGACTTAAAACAATCAGAGAGGAGTACAAGAATCTCCGTGACATTTCTAAGAAAGTATCTGAGAAGCTTTTCGCAGAGGGAAATAGACAACGTGGGTTTCTTTGTGCTTTTACAGAAACGTAAACAACTTTTATCTTATTTTTTTTACACTTGATTCTCCCCCTTCTCTCATGTTTCAGGTGTTGGAAACATTCAAGAAAACTGAGTCATCGGTCCATGATTAGGAGAAGATGTTGTTGTTGGGATTTCTGTTATAACTTTTAACCATCTATCTTGTAATAACAAAGACTGATCACGTTTTTCTTTGTTTTCGACTGGATGTTGGTCTCTCATGTTGATCAATTAATTGCTCTTTCCCTGTTGTTATTGGTGTATATTTTGCCACATCAGAATTGTGTGTATGAGATATCTAAGAAATTGCTACTTTGATTTCTTCATGGACTTTTGTGGCTACTGCTTTGATAAGTCTCTGATATTGAATTCTTCCACACATCTCGGTCGGATCCAAAGGTGCATGCGGTATATGTATCTGCATGTTCTTAATGAAACGAACACATGAGGGGTTTTTGTGTTAAGTTTTGACGATTTTGTTTGGAGTTTGTAGAGAAAAATGTGTTAGGAGTCCCAACCCAATGATGTTACTGTTCATGGAGAAAGATGAAGCAAGACTTTAAGGGAATTAACATCAGCTTGACACTCTGTTTCCAATTCGAAGGCATAATACAAATGGTTCGGTGTCTCCTCAGTCTTTTGATGACTTTAGACAGTAGCTTTTATAATATGCTTGACATACGTTCATAATCCAGGATTATTCCATGAGAGTTTTGGTAGGGGGAGTATGATCTTGCAGATGTATCCTTCCATTATATTCATTCATTTCTTTCCAAGCATGACGAATCGTAACTCGAAAAAAACCTAAATTGTTAATCTAGCTAAAGCTACTTTTGTAAAGATCAACAACTCTACTTGACGAGATAGTGAAGATTTTATCATTTCTCTTTTTCTTTCTTATCAAACTATGTTTTTGTTTATCTCTCTGATTCGCAAGGCTTCAAAACTCTAGGTAAAGCTACTTCTGTAATACCTCACTTTTCATTCCTTAATGACATTTTAGGTACTATTTGGCACACACACACAAAAAGAGTTATAGTGATTCGTGATTAATGGGTAGTCTTTTAAAATATATAGTGGGTTTAGACCAAATTGGTATGAATTAGTGGTTAGATGAGCACAATGGAACCATGAATTAAAAAATAGTACCAAGTTACCAACGTACTTGTTTTTGGTCGACTGACTATCCCAATTACAATATCCATTTCAAATTCGTAGACCCTACCATTCTCTCCTCCAAAACTGGACTCCACTCTTTTATATACCAAATTTTCTATCTATACGGATCAATGTCTAAATGTCACATTTCTTCCACACACAAGAATAATTAGCACGGCTGTTTATACCGGACTATATCTACATAACATATGTGAAGATGAATTTTAAAAAAGTAACAACTTGTTTTAAAGTTTAAACCATTGAAGCGATCGATGAATTTTTGGTCGATTGACTATCCCAACTAGAAAATCAATTGGCTGTTGACTTTTAAGAAGAAGCAGAAAACTAGAAAAGAAAGGAAAAAGACGGTCATACATAGTTCATGAGCTCTCGCTAGCTGTATGTCGTTGATTTTAAAGAAAATAGTCCAATTTGATTAGTCATGGTCACTATTTCTATATCTTGTGTTCTTATTCTCTATATTCCTTTTACTTTGTAGTAGCTTTTCAACGTTGAAGTTATTTCGTTTAGGATTTCCTTATCTTTTAGAAAACTAAAAAAGTCCTAATGTAAAATTAAGCAAATTAATCCTAGTAAAATGGTTTATGAACCATTCCATTTCCATCATGTATCTTCTGGTGTCGGACAAGAAAACGCCATTAATTTTCTTATTGCGATTAGGTGGCAGTAAATTACTCTAGTTTTGGACATATGTATTACGATGGTTGAAAACTCTATAGTGGAACTATTTTCATCTATGTAGAAACTGCTGGAGACCAAGAGTCCAAAATATTAATGTAAGATAATCATAATTCGAAATAACACACACTCTTAAGGACCCACGCATGCACCCAGAATATGGTAGATGATAATATATGTTTTTATCTGTTCACTTATTTAATTTTTGCTTTGTCATTGTCTCACTCACATAATTCAATTATCCCATTCCCTTTAGATAGTCCTTTTCTTTTTATTTCAACTTCAAACTTGACAACAACAAAAAATCAACTTTTCCTATCATAAAGCCACTCTTAAAATTCATTTCCATGTCTTTTTATGCTTCAAACATGGAGAGATTAAGGGCATAGCTTACGAACTTTTGTTCAACACAATTATCCACCAAAATGAAGTGGTTTTTAATTCTGGTTCATTTGAATTAGATCCCGGTAGTATTCTATGTACGTGAAGGTATAAGACTTAGACATGTGGGTAATAAGATCTTCTACTTTTCTAAACTTTATATGAATCAAAATTTCTGGTTATTCTTCATCAAATATTATTTCATGTAAATATGTGTTCTTTGATTGATATAAAAGCTTTATTTAAATCAGTTTCTTCATCCTAGCAAGATGGCATCCGAGTCCATTGTTACTTAATTTTGTCACTGTAACAAGATTGAAAGTTTGAAATCGCTAATAATTGAATAAGCCTAGCTGCAGCCTAGGTGATAAGGTTTTTGACTGAATTGTATATCAATATGTCTATTAGACATTATTAAATAATAAATATTGGAACAATGATACGGTTCTGTGTGTCTCCTCCATTCACGTTTCCATGAACTTCTCCCCTTAAATATTGGTCTTTTGGTGACTTTAGACCGTAGCTTGACATATACATACCGATCAGTATTCTTGTTGTTGTATCAAGAAACCATGTTTAAGCACATGTTCAATCTCAGTATTGTTGCCTCAAGATTATTGATCAAGTGATATATTTTTGGGTCTATATTTTTTTGGCATAAGGAATGGAATAATAAGAACCTCCAGATTCTTTTATAGGCTCAAATCTTCTTCTTGTTTTTTTCCCCATCTCTACAGTTTGCCACAACTTTAAAAGAAGATGTAAAACCTTGAAAGTTGTAAAAGTGTGTAAGTTTCTTGAAACTTGCCATTAGTAAAACAAGTAAGTTCGAGAGAGGACAATACAAAACTAAAAAGGTCTCTGACTAAATACTGTCACTCTTCCAAGTAAGTTATTACATGGACAAACGCAAAAATCTTCAACGCCTCAACCAAACTAAGCCCCCCTGATAAGAGAAACCAGCAACGAACAAAACCAAAGAAGAAGAAGACGAAGAATCAACAATCCAAATAGGGAAATTGCATTGCCCCTGAAATATGTTCTGTGTGGTAATGGTGGCCAAACCTTGGAAGATACACGCTTCCTCATCCTGGTTCTTCACCTGAAAATACATGTTAAACGCATACGACGCGTTCCCATTTGCATCAAGACCATTGCAAGAAGATCCATAACCAAGAGCCGTGCAATCAGAGTAAGTGCAGGCAAAATCAATGTTCTTAGCAAGTTTCGTCAAATCTTTAGCTTCTGGATTAAAGCTACACCACTTGTTCTGTAGATACGTCACGTTTTGAGCACCAACCAAGAGCTTGTTCTGTCCTTGACCTGAGAGATCTATAGGAAACTTTGGTGTCCCTCCCGTCGTATTTGAATATCCCCCAATGCCTCTCAAAGTCTCCAGGTGCTATGCTTTTCGCATCCTCATCGAGTAATCCGAAAAAGTAGACCTCAATGTATATTGGTCTCAATGGAGTGCCTTTGTTTGCTCCAAGCTTTGGTAAAGACCGTTGTATAATCTGTAAGCATCGCCTGCTACGATAGGCATGTCTCCATGACCAACAGCTTTCAAAGACGATACCAAAGTGTCGAAATTTGCATCGAAAACGTTCGTGTAAGAAATGCCGTGGTCATCTACAGGCTGAGCTCCATCGAAGAAGGCGTAGTTGAGTGGGAAATCATCGTTACCATAGAGACTCAAGAAGGGGTAGATGTTGATTGTTATAGGAGCATTGTTCTTGGTAAGGAAGTCTACAATCTGAGTCATTTGAGCAATGATCTCAGGACGGAATCTTCCTGCAGATGGCGCTGCTTCCATATGTTCATAAACTTTAGACAAAAGTTCATATTCGCGTTATGAATGTATGTCTATTAGATGAACGTATTTCTTTTGCTATATGCTGATAGATGAACGTGTTAATGTCCTTTTTAAAGCATTTGTTTGGTTAAAAACTGCATGCATGAACATTATTTTTAAAAGTATTAAAGTCTCAACTGCATGGATGGACAATTACAAATACAATATCCATTTCAAGACATGTCAAATTCGTAGACCCTACCATTCTCTCCTCCAAAACTGGTCCCCGCTCTTTTATATACCAAATTTTCTATCTATACGGATCAATGTCTAAATGTCTCATTTCTTCCACACACAAGAATCATTAACACGGCTGTTTATGCCGGACTATATCTACATAACATATGTGAAGATGACTTTTTAAAAAAGTAACAACTTGTTTTTTTTTTTTTGGTCAACAGTAACAACTTGTTTAAAGTTTAAACAATTGACGCGATCGATGAATTTTTGGTCGATTGACTATCCCAACTAGAAAATCAATTGGAAAAGGACGGTAGGTCCCACTTGATTACCCTAAACTACTAAATTAGGATGTTAATTTCTTTAGTAAGAAAGACATTGTTAAATAAAGGATGTATGATTAAAAACCCACGCATATATCACTCTAAAGATCACGACTTTCAAGGGAGGCACCCTAATGATTAAATCGTTATTTATTATTTTTTTTTTGTTCGAGTGTGTATACTTATTTTTAGTTTTATATATTTCGAGTGTATATACTTCGCATAATTATGTATACAAAATTCAATAGCTTCTTATACATACGTAAGCACTAAACATAATAGCAAAACTGCAAAAGCTTGAAGCCTCAACAACTTTCGCTGTTATGATATTTTCAACAAACGATAACCATCACCGCATTTTTTGAATTGAAACCAATGAGTAGTTGTCAGAAATAAAAGCCGACAAATCAAGTTCATGAACTTTTGTTTTCTTGGAAAGTTGGAGCTAATTAAGATAACTTTTCAGGTTAATTAATACTAACCCTTTCCAATGGTTTCTCACCACCTTTTCAAGGAGGGAGCTTGACGTATGTATGTTCATAATAAGGTTTAGACATAAGTTCATATTCGCGATATAATGCATACATGTCTATTCTAGCTAGGAACGTATTTCTTTTGCTAATATATCTATATATATCGGGATCTCTCTCTCGTAATAGCTAAATGAACGTATTAATTCATGTCCTTTTAAGAGCATTTGTTTGGTTAAAAACTGCATGCATGAACAATTAATTACAATATCTCTTCAACTCGTGTCATATAGACATAGTATGATATATGTAGACCCTACCATTCTCTCCTCCAAAACTGGACCACTCTTTGAATGTCTAAATGTCGCAATTCCTCGACACACGATCACGAAAATAAAACGGCTGTTTATGCCGGACTATATATAACATATGCAGTGTAAATATAGTATCATATACTATATAAGCTTTATCAATAAATAAATAAAAAATCATACTATATAAAACCTCTCATCGATTTTGAAAAACTAATTTGTAAAAGTAGAAATAAATGGGTAATCAACTAGATAGGCTTTTAGAAAGGTACTGTATAAAACTAAAAGCGTTTTGAAAACTACAATCTTTTTGTTTTCTATAAAAACGAATTTAGCTTTGTTTTAGAAACAAATAATGATATTAAACCACCAAAAATAGGACTTTGTCTAGTTTTTCAACATATATTTTCTTAGTCCGATTTTGTTATATCTTGTAATTCCTATAGAAGATTAGCGTCTTACGGTACTAAATTCTAACTCTTTCAAAACCATAAAGGTTTTCGTTTTTTTTTTTTAAATGATTTGGATATTTCAATTTTGACGTCGTGTTTCTTGTTAATGTTTTTCGAAATTCTTTTGTTTTCTCGAAGTTTCGGTGTTCATGCATGTAAATCAACATTTTCGAACATTTTTTGTTGGTTCGAGTGTAGGAAGGAGTAGGATGCATGTATATATATATATATATATATATATACGTTTCTATGTCTTCCTATAACTATATATGTATCCAATAGTCAAAAGCTGAAAGCCTCACCGCCTTATGATACTATATGTCTTCCTATAACTATTTCGCTGTTATGATACTTCCAGCAAACGGCTAACCATCTTTTTTTTTTTGGGTTAAAAACCAATAAGTAGTTGTCAGAAATAAAAGCAGACAAAATAAGCGGAGCAAAAGTTCAAGAGCTTGATGGAATCAATTTTTTTTTAATGTATTTTTGGAATTTGGAAAGTCGGAGCGAAGTTAACTTTTCTGGTTAATATTACTTACCATTTCCAAGGGATTCTCACCACTTTTTCCAAGGAGGGAGCTTGACGTATGTATATGTTCGTAAGCATAGGTTTAGACATGTATAAGTTCGGCTTTCGCGATATGAATGAATAATGTCTATTAGGTGGACGTATTTATATGCTAATATATGTCCCTCTCCTGATAGATGAACGCATTTAGGCACTTTTAAAGCATTTGTATAATATTTGTAACTAGATTAGATGATTTATGCATGAATCTCTTGTGGAAAACTTTAGAAGCTTGTACATGTTACAACCGGGAGTAAAATAAAATCGAATCGATCTACACTATTATTACAAAGTAAAATATATGAAGGCGGATTGAGCGAAATAAAGTTATGCATTTTCACTCATTTATTGGTTGTGTTAAACTTAATACACTAATAGGAAGCTGATTTATTTAGTAAGAAACTACAAATTAAAGACGCTATTAACTATAAAAGCCGGCATATTAATATAGTTACTCTAAAAGATGATGAGTTTAACAAATGTAAAAAAGAAATGATCTAATCTTTGATTAAATCGTTCTCCGAGAAAAAAGGTCACACTCTCGATGACGTGGCTGGTACACACTTCTTTTCACCCTTGACTCGTTGAGTCTCGCTGAATCCTTGACTCTTTGACTCCCTCGCTGAATCGTTTTTAGGTCTCCCTTCTTCCCGAATCCGAATCCTCCGCCGTCTCCGCTGCTGCTCCGATGACGAAGACGAAGGATTCCGAAAACCAACACTACCCAAACGTTCTAGCAAAAGTAAAGGCCTACACTAAGGTGTTGGAGAAGCTTAGAGAATGAGAGGCTCCATTTCCTCCAGATTTCGAGACTTCACTTTGGCAACACTTTAGCAGACTTCCTGCTCGGTAAGATTCTCCTTGTAACTCGACACTTGTTCTCTGTTTCATCAAGGTTTTGCTATCTGTGGATTTTATAATTTTAGGAAGAGGGTTTTGCGAAAAGGGCTTTGGTTTTGCTGTTTCCGGTTGATTTCGTAGATTAATTTAGTCGACAAAATCACCATAGCTCTCTCTCTTAACACGTGTCATGTGTCTCCAGTTGATTTTGGGAAAATGGACTTTTTGGTTTTGCTGTTTCCGGTTGATTTTGTCGATTATCCACACTGTATTTGGATTGGTTTCCTGAGTAGATTATATTTAGTTGACAAAATCACCATATCTCTCTCTTCTCTGCAGATATGCTATGGATGAGAAAATCAGTGCAGAGGATGTTCTCATCCACATGAAACTGATGAAGAAGATGCTTGAAGGAGTTGGCATCGTGGTTCAAGTTGTTCCACTAAATCTGAAGGAAGATGACCAAAGCTCTGAACAACCAAGCAACCCTGCGTTGAAGGAAGATGACCAAGCAAAAAAAGATCTTTTGGTTCAAGATCCTGGAGTTGGTATCGTGATTGAAGCTGTTCCTGCCTTGGTTGATCATCACGTTGGAGCTGGTGATAATGCAACATTGCCCACTGAGTGAGTTTTCGTGTCTCTGTTTTTGTATCTATCACTTTGCCTTACTCTCACTTTTAATATAAATCATTCTCTTGTTGTTGCAGACACATGATGATCAATTTTGTCTCAGTCAACCTTGATCATCAAGCAAAGGCTTTCCATGAGCTCTCCTTCCTTCTTGGTGCTGAGCTAGGACTTCAGATCTTGGAGACTAGTTCCTTTGCTTCAGAGGATGGGCTTTCCTTGGATGTCTTCGTTGTGGATGGTTGGTCTCGAGAGGTAGAAACGTTAATATAACTTTTAGTTTTTGTTTTCATTTTCGTTTTTATCACAAATTTACTCCTTTCTTTCTTTATTCATTTTGAATGATGCAGGAATCACAGAGACTAGAAGACGTACTAAGGGATGAAATAATTAAATTTGAGAGCAGAAATATCCTGGGGCAATCCGTTTTCTCGAGGGTAAGAAATACACCATCTCGATCTCTCTGCCTTTTTTACTTCGATTTCTTTCCTTGTGAGCTTAAAATAAGAGAAACGATTGGTTGAAAATGATTGTTTATTGTGTGGTGGGGTTACGTGTAAGATTTAGAGAATATGCGTTTCCTTCCTTTTGTTTATTTATTTGCAAGTGTCGGTGTAAATAGTGGATCCTGAATTATCTCAATCTTTTAACTGTTTCCTTATTTTTCTCTCTCTTTCTAGATCTTCTTCGACAGCTACACGCCTAAGTTTTCCAACAGGAAGCCTAATAAGGCAAGCATCTTTGATGCTCCTGTAGAATCACTGAGGAAGCATTTAGTTGTTGGCTGCTCAGAGAGGCTCTTCAACAAGCTTTATGGACGAGCAGAGGAGGACCCATCTTTTGCTTTGAAGCTCATCAGAGGTGCTTCTTTCATCCAGAGGAACAAGGCTCGGCTCATGAGCAAACTTCTCAAGGACAAGAGTTGTGAGTACACTCACACCAGAGCATTCAACAAGAAGTTTGCTGCTCTCTCTGTAGCCAAAGCAACAGCTACACTCGCTGTGGCTGCCTTGTTTGGAGTGTTTGCAGTGGGATCTGGCATCATTCCAGCTATGGAAGAGAAGGAAGACAGAGCTCTACAGTTGCAGGAGGTTAAGGATAGCTTCAATGATAAGTTGGCTGGGTATTACAAACAATCTCGCAGCTTCTTTCAAGAAGGTCTCAACAGTAACCTGAAGAAGATGGACTCCAAGTTGGAAGGTCAAAACATGAAATACTCCAAGTTGGAAGAAAGAGTTCGAGTCCTAGAAGAAGCTGGTGCCAAGAAAAGCTCTTGGTTTGGAGGTTGGTGGTCCAAGTAAGGAAAGAAGCAGAAGAATGAACACTAAAGCCCTTGTAATAATGAAAGAAAAACCTATCTTGTTTGTTTGATCGTTTTTTTGGACCAGTAGGTTGTTTAAGCACCATAACTTATTCCTTTTGACCTATCTTAGCTTGTTTGTTTGATCGTTTTTTTTGGACCAGTAGGTTGAATTCTCTGTTAAGCACCATAACTTATTCCTTTTATGTTATCTTTTGTGATCTTGTCCAAATGTTGTTGACTGACATGATTATGATCTGTATCACATGTTTGCTTTGCTGCAAAGTCTGTTTCGTTTTACTGTTTTCTCCACAGCAGAGACGTTCTTTTTTGGACACAAGTGGAAGAAGGGTACAAAGATTTAGCGGAATGATCTGCAGCTTTGTGCTTTTTTTGACTTCTGTTGGCTGTTGGTTAAGTCCGAGCTGTTAACTTCTCGCCCTGGACTGGATTTCTTTCTTCTGATTGGAATCCATATTTTCTGATTGTTTGAGATGGAGTTCACATATGAATCACAAGTTTGCTTTTCTTTGGACAGAAGTGGAAGAAGGTCACAAAGATGTAGCGGTAAGATCTGCATCTTTGTCTTTTTGGAGTTCTGTTGAATGTTGGTTAACTTCTCGCTCTGCATTTATTTCTTCTATTTGGAATTCATATTTGCAGGACATGGAAACCCCAGGCCCTTTGAGAAGCGCAAGCATGCTGCATACCTTAATCTAAAGTTAAGTGGATAAAGTTTTGTAAAGATGATGTTTGAAGGATCCAAGAGTCCACTTAGTCGAGAAATCTATCTAAAATCTAACCTCTCCTCTTGTCTATGCAGTTAGAAGATGTAGAGCTGGATGTTAAGATGAAAAACTACGATTGGAGGCAATCTTCTCGGGAAACATTCTTACACTGTAGGGTCCAGGAGCTTGAGACCCAGTTGGATAGAGAGAAAGATGAATGCAAGAGGTAATGACTGTTTCCACCTTGATGTTTTCTTGGAACTCATTCGGATGCAATATATGTGATTTGGCATTATTCTGGACTTGATCTTTTGGTGACGAATGCTGTTCAATGCTTTTTCATGGCAGGATTACTTCAAGAACGAAGAAATTCATGAAAGAATATAGATATAACATGTTTCTATCTTGGACGACGAGGTGGGACGGGCTCAGTTTGAGAGGCATCTCAAGGCTACTGGTTGTGTGCTGGAACGAGATGACAGAGCGTCACGCCTATATTGATATGGCCATGGTGAATGCTCATCTCGTTTACGGAGGGCAACACACAACCATCAGCCTTGAGATGCCTCTCAAACTGAGTCCGTCCCACCTCGTCGTCCAAGATAGGAACATCTTTACGATGCTTGAAATCCCAATGGAACGGCATGTTCCCCGAACTCTGGGAGAATCAACCGGCAACCCATGGCCATTTTTGAGAATTATGTGAGGGATTCAGCTCAGCAAACCGGAGTTGAACGATGAAGGAGATGATCGGGAAGCTATCCTCATCCCTGAAGGTATCGCAGAAGCTGGAGGAGGATTACAAGCTGGAGTTTGAGGCCGCTTCTTGCCAGAAGAAAAGGATAAGCGACTTGGAGTCTCAACTGGCGCAAGCGCATCCTGATGCGATGCTGGCATTGTCAGTGGTCGGGTTCGCGAGCTGGAGGAGATGGACAAAAGTTTCCTCTTTTTTTTTGCCGCGCCAACAATGTGTTCGCCTCGCATATCACTTCGTCAAAATTGTTTCCAGCAAAACCAGAACGAGCCCTGGCATGTCACCCACCAGAGCTTTCCCTTGCTGTTTCTCGAGCTGACATTGAGTAAGTCTCCTCCTGCTATTCAAAGCTGATGAGCCTGTATCCGGAATTTGCAGAGTAGAACCGCCTGCAATCAGACACGCCAAGTCAAAATAAGGTCTACTAACAAATTCAAAACCACAAAACAGGTAGTATTCGCATATGTACCTCGACGAACAGGAGCCTGATCCAAATCTATGAACGGAGCAGGAAAATCGTATGCCGAAGTAGCACAGTTCGCTTCTTCAAAACTTGATCGCATTTGATCCTATATGGTGCTTCTGCAAACACGTGGGAAAAACCAAAGGTTAAAACAACCAAGTACTTAGACGAACAATGATTAAGACAGAAACAGCTCTTAATCGTTAAACTAATTAAAACTAAAATTAATTCCCCCTGACCAACTGCGTCCGCCTAAGCTTTGGGGATCCTGTCAAAATCGAAATCCCCCACAGAAGCTTTGTCGATCGTGCGGTTATGGCCAGGAGAGGAGTAAAACGAGCCGGGAAAGCGATTGTTCCCCTTCATTGAGCAAAGCTGGTGGAATTCGTCGATCCAAAACATAACCCCTGCTCGCACAACAATACTTTGAGCGCGATTAGGGTCCGCGGACAGATCTGAGGGAGCGCGATCTTTAGATTAGCCATGATCTCCACGAGAAACGGAGGGAGGCCGCCGACTCATGCTTCCTCGGAGTGGTGATCTTCACTCCATACAGAGCCTTGAGGTCTTTGATTTCATCTGAGGTGATCTTAGATCTCTCGTGAGGACCATACTTCTTTTGACAACGTTTTTTCGCAGCCGCAGCAGTTGGACGTGTTTCCGCCATAAAACTCGAAAGCAACTAAAGCTTAACTCATTTTCGAAAAAAACGGATTCAAAACAAAACAAATAACTCTTTGCAGAAAGAAGACAATTTTTTCTCGAAAACATGTAAACAAAAAAAAACATAAATAAAGAACTTAAAGCAAGAAGAATGGAAAGAAGAAATTACTTTGGGAAGAGTAGCGGAGACGTGCACAGTTAAGGAATTGTAAGATAGTGGGTTAAATATAGCAATAAGTGTTGTTACCAAAATCGAGAGAAAAATCTTTTTCTCTTCATCTCAATCGTCTATCTCATGTAATTAAAGATCCGATTCTCAAGATACGCATGATTTAATCCGAGAGCTATCTTATTTCCAACTACTAAAAATCCCCAAAAAAATCCTTTAAATTCGAAGTTATCCGTATATTCTTTTTGCTTCAGGATTTCGAAACTATCCGGAATTTCTCTAAAATAAAATATACAAAAGTTTAAAATTCTTGTATGAAATATTAGTTTTCCTGCTTTCTGCTTATCAAGTATTAAAGTAGGAGATCGAGTAAAAACTGTTCAATGGAGATCACCGAGAATCTGGAGAACGAACACCCAATATCATGCTGTAGCTGGAAGCCGAAGTGGATATATATAAGGCAACTAGGGCAAATGGAGGCGGATCATCTTTTACTCATTCTCTTATTCTCTTGTATGCTTAAGAGCTATCGCATTACGAATCTTCTCTGTAAACACATTTCTCATTGATATAAATTCATTTGGTAGATTTAAGTCATATCTCTTATTTGGTTCATTGTGGGATTTTTACCTACTTTTTTCTCATCTCTTCATTCACTCAAAATACTTAGGATGTGGGCATTGTATCTTACAATCATAAACGTTTCTGTATTTTACATAAAACAGTTAATTTCCAGTTAATTTAGCAATAGATATTTAGAGACTCGGTATTAGGAAGAAAATTAAAACTATAGTAAGATTTTCTTCGTTTATAATCATACTAAAATACGTTTGTTTCTTATCATTGGAATAATATGTGCTGCACTTTATTTGTGTTTTTAGACTTATGTAATGTGCTCCAGTGTATTATTATGTTTAATGTCAACTTGAATACTCCTAAACGAGGCCCAAACCTCTCTGCTGTGAAATCGAAAATCTCCGTGTAATCGAATCATAAAAACTGAATATCCCAAAGTTTTAGCACTTTAGAATCAGATACTTGCGGATGCTGGCTGCATGAAGATCGTTGTACGAGTAAGACGATAAGAGTCTATTTTTCATTTAACATTTCCAGCTTTACACTGAATCAACAGAAGCATTGTTATGTACAACAAATTAATCATTACTATATACACATACACATACATGATATGGACTTTGTTAATATAAGAATCAGCTTCCCCATCCGACCATTGTTCCAGGGCGGGAAAACGCGAGCCCTCGATCATACATACGTTGGATCTCTTCTCTGTACTCAGGCAGAGACTCATCAGGAATTGGTGGAGTCAGCTCCACCACATCACCCATCTTCAGCTTCCCCTTTAGGTCGCTTACAGGTCTCTGGTTCAGTCTCGGCCTTAGCTCTTCCTTTGCTGGTATCCCATACATGGACCACCTCGAGCTCCCTGGCCCCGCCCGGCTCAGCAGATCCGACAACGTAGAGTTCGCTGGGAACTCTTGCACAGACATCTGCAATGTTTCTGATTCGTTCAATATAACACAATCAACCTGTGCTAGAGAAGAGTTTATACAACAAAGTGACAAACCTTTTCATTTTCGATGACGATGACATAGACTGGTCCGTCCTGGCTACTGTTAGGCTTGTAAGAAGCCGGGCAGTCCTCAGAGTGAGAAGGAAACTTGCAAGGGGGTTTGATGGAATCAGAAGAACGGATGGAAGATCGGTCTTTGCTCATTGTTTCACAGTGCCAAGTTACAACCCACCGAGCCCATTCAACCATCTGAAGCACAAACGAAGAGTATTTGCAGTCACCTTCCTTGTACCTCCAGTGAGCTGCAAACCCAAACTCAGCTTGCAAATGCATCTCCTGTGTACGTATCTGGACTTCAAGTGGAACTGTTCCATTATCCATCACTACCGTGTGCAAAGATTGATACCTAGAGTTAAACAAAATCTTAAAAGTCAGATTCGTAAAACTTTTAACAAGCCATAGCAAGCTTAGACAAAAAAACATACCCATTGAACTTGGGATGAGTTATGTAATCCTTGAGCTTCCCAGGAACTTGAGACCATAAACTATGAACTACTCCTAAGGCCTTGTAACAATCTCCTTCGTTATTAACAATCAAACGTAACCCATGAATGTCGTGAATCTCATCTACAGTTAGCTTTTTCCTGAGATCATAAAGGCAACATCAACATTAGTCTTCTGGTTTCACTCACACTGTTTCATCTGTGAAAAGGGGAGGAACTAGGAAGGAGAGCTTACTTCAACATCTTGCAGTAGATACTATACAAGCTCTTGTGCCGACCACAGAGAACATGATAAGAAATGCCTTCTTTCTTGAGAGCTTCCTCCAACTTCTCTATAGCAGAAGTAATCATAGCTTCATCGAATGAATCCTCGAACATGGTTGACATCTCGTTATGCTGCTGCGGGTAAAGATGCTTGAAACAAAGATTCTCAAGCTGGACTTTCCATGTAGAGATTCCCAATCGATTAGCCAGAGGTGCGAATATTTCAAGCGTCTCTTTAGCAAACCTCTGCTGCTTCACTGGGGAGAGAGCGTATAGCGTCATCATGTTGTGCAGACGATCAGCAAGTTTTATAAGAACAGCTCTCGCATCTGCCATTGCAAGAAACATTGTATGCAAGCGATCTGCTTCCACAGTTTTACACGCCGTGTTGTTCTCTCTAGCGAGTTTGCTCAATTGGCTAAGCTTTGAGACCTATATACACATTGAGCTCAATTAGCTAACAAGCACCAAGAATCTCAACCAATAACAAGTCGATAGATGTTGCTTGTTTCTTACCCCTTCGACCAAATCAGCAACTCCTGCACCAAAGTTTCTGAGAATGTAATCATAGCTCATGAATGAATCGTCCATAGTATCGTGAAGCAGCCCAGCCACGACAACGGTGGAGTTAGCTCCGATACTAGCCAGCAACAAAGCAGTCTCAACGCAATGTTGCAAGTAAGGATCACCACTCGCTCTCATCTGATTTACACACATCAAAACGAAAACTTCAGTCACCAAACTCTAGAGAACATCCAAAGCCACTCGAAAATTCATGAAATTGTTTTTGTACCTGTCCTCTGTGAGCTTTCTCTGCTTCGTAAAATGCTTTGATAACGGATTCGTCTTTGAAGATTGAGTGCCTCAATTGAGCACGTCCTAGCAAATCCCTAGCATATGGCTGTCTAGTATCTGCTCCAAAACCATCTTCCATGGAAAACGTTAGCTCATCGACGAGAATCGGATCCGAAGACGAAGAAGACGATCCCAAATCGTAATCCACACACGAGCCTATTGCTTTCCTAACGAATCCATTGAATAATCCGCTAGCTCCTACGCGAAATGAGCCATGGAAGCTTCCGTCTAAACTCCGATCGCGAGAAGCTCTCATCGGAGGGCTGCAACTACACGAGACTGGGCCGTGAAGCACAGAGATGGGGCTTTGATGGTCCCGTCTAAGGTACGAGGAATTCGCAAATTTCGCCGGAGAATAACAGAAGGAGCTGCTCAAGCTCAGATCCTCACTCCGATCATGGCGCAGGGACGAGAATTCCTCTACTCCGGCTGAGAACGAGGAGCAGGAGGAAGCTAAGGATTTGACAGACGCGCCGGAGAAAAGGGAAGAGAGACCTCCGACGA